CTAAGGGATATGGATAACATTCTTATTCCCACCAAACAGAAGGGAAGATAATGACCAACCGCCCACTCTTCTTTATAGCTCTCTTCAGAAGAGTGGATGGGAAATTCTGTGCTGGATTATAGATCTTCTGGTCCTTAGTCTAGCAATGGACTTGAAATGATTGATGTAGGTATGTAGTTTATGTGATTCAATATTGGAAACCTTTTCACGTGAGTTTGCTAGATCGACAAAATATTCACGAAGGAATATTTGTAAAGAAACTGTTCAATGTTGTTTCCATATGACGTTTGCATAGGATAGCATAGAATAGTCTGTCTGCCACCTATATTGGCACAGAGAGTGTGTTGCACATATTGCCATTAAATATTTTGTAGTACTTTTATTTGTCTGTTCTTTTATTTCCTTTGTTATTTTGACATGTTATAACGACAGTAACAGAAAATAAATCACTTCAACCAAAGGCGAAACCTACCACCACTACCCCACTGAACAAGTGTCCGACTCTTAAGTACTGACTAAAAATCGACCCGATCCGTCTCCTGCTCTGTCCGAACTGAACAGTGAATAAAAAATAAGCATTTTTGATACTTGAAAAGTGTATATGCTGATTTAAAAAGAGGTCGCCAGTATATTTGCATAGGGCTGTTCAATTTTATCTGCCGTTCTTATAACGAATGTTGAGGTTGCCTGTCATTGGAATGCAAATCGGAATTAATTTTGCAAGTGCAAAACCTGTTACTTCACCTTTACTAGACAAATACATTTTATATCAGTAAACATCTTGTCATTCAAAACTATTTCCGATTCAAACCAAATATAAAAATGGTGCATATTTGATTTCTCCATAACGCTATGCTATGCTTCGCTTATGCTATTTCATGAATTTCCCCGTGAATTTTTCGATTTATTATATCCTTTACACGGCTTTCCTGTTAAAACAAGTTCAGAAGATATTGAAATATAACATTATGGGTTTTTAAAGAATTATATGATCTCCCTGTTAAATTAAAAAAGTATTAAGATACGTGTACGAATATCGGTAGTAGATATCCGGTATGAAAACATCGTTACTTTTTATTTTTTGTGGGAGAGAAATCATCGTATTATAATCATACTCTTTTCGCCCTGTCGGCGGCAAGAGCCTGTTACTGATTAAAAATCACACTATTTCCTTCCTCATGATTTTAACGAAGAATTCATTTGTAGTTCATAACCAAAGGGTACCTAAACTGTAGCTTAGAATTCATTATAGCTAGACAGTTGAACTCTTTGTAAAAAATATTTTTATCATTTTTATAAAAACGTTTTTTATTTAATCGGATTGTCTCAAGGTTATTTCTTAAGGAATGTTTGACGAAAACGGCATTTTTGCTGCCAGCTTAAAATATACTGAGTACAATCAACAACAAAATATAGTGAACAATTGCAAATATTGTTCTGTTTTGTGTTGTAATACAGTAAATAGTGTAGGTATAATTATTTGGTACTGTGATTGCATTTATACTTCTAAGTAGAAAAATATTTGAGTTTAACTAAGTCCATTTTTAAAAAGACTAGATTGTACGCGCTTTTTTTTAAGAACGCACCTTGAGTTTTTGATATATGTTTAATGCATATAGACCAAAGTTGCAATTGTATTACCATGAATAAAATAACATAATTGTACTAACTAAACTATAAAATTACTAATAAAGGCTACAAAAATAAATATACCGCAACTTATTAAACAATTAAAATCTACAAACTAGTACTAAGGAGATTTTGTTTGAGAACAACACGTTGGATCATTAGTATTAATCAAATTCCGTCGACGACTGTACACAAATTCCCAGACATTTTTTATTGGGATAATTAGTGAGCAAAAATTAGGAGGAAACTGACTATTGGAAAGTGCCTTTGTCTAAACTAAAGGTTATAGACACGACGGCACCGAAAACCTTGTCAATTATTTTAGGTGTTATTCGAAGGTATTTCAATTATTTTAGGTGTTATTCGAAAGCATTGTCTTTTCATGCATTTATCTATCAATATTAAATAGTATTTATTGACTATCACGTTGTAGCATTCGCCGGTAGGAGTGTCGAGTTAGGGGTCAAGTTTTGTGAAAAGCAGGGTATAATAAGCACATATTGATCAGATTAACATTGATGATATTGATGAGGTTAGATTTAAGCCCATTACTTGGCAGTATGGCTATATCCACAGGGATCGCTTTGAAAATGCATATTTTATGTATTTTGTATTATTTTATCCTGGCTATTTATTGATACATCTTGATTTTCTGCAGAAACTTCAAGGGGAAAATCGATCTCAATCGTATGATTTTGTAATGATACTTAAATCGTTAGTTAAAGAACATTTGCCATATAGCGGAACCTGACCGTCAGAATTTGACGATGAATTAAAGTTGAAGATCTTGAAGAACTCTAAGTCGTTATTTCTTTGTTCAGGTACCATGTGTTGGAAGACGGCGCTGGCGGGTATCTGCTGGAAGTGCCGAGTGCCGAATGGCCGGACGAAGGCGAGTGGAAGTGCGTAGCCACCAGCTCTGGGGGTCGCATTGGGATCTCCACCTGTTATGTCACCATGGATGGTAAAATCAATTACTTTACCTCGAATAAGTACATTATACATACGTATAGCATGACTTACATAGGGACATGCAAAACCACTTTAACGTCATAACACTTGGTTCATCTATGTACACGTGGGAGCAAAAAATTTTGCTACTCGTTTTTGTTTTAAATAATTTCTTGGTTTCTTATTAACTTTTTTCGGTTACAACTATTTCTTTAGTGGGCAACAAAGTCTGCCTTACTTGGGTAATTTTATGATAAAAATCCATTTTGTCGTTAGTTTAAAAACCCTCTCTGTCTTTTCTAGATTTTTTGGAACAAAAAACCTCTATTTAATGCTAATTAAGTTTTTTCACGTGGTACATGGTGCTAATGTAATAAATGATCCCATCTTTAATCCAAACTCTGTTTTACAGTGCCCAAAAACTATCGAAAGCCAAGATTCATGGAGAACTTACAAGCCGTGCTAACAGAAGAAGGGCTAGTGTCCTTCGAATGTAAAGTAGTAGGCTTTCCCACTCCAGTACTCAGCTGGTTTAAGGACGGCCAGGAGTTAAAGCCTGGAGATGTCTACCAACTCACAGGCACCAACTCTTTAGGATCTTACTGTTGTATTGCAAGAAACTGCATGGGACAGGCCAGTAGCTCTGCTGAACTCACCGTAGAAGACATTCAGAACCAACTTAACGAAGAAGAGAAGCTACAACTGTTCTCCAAGAATCAGGCTCCAAAGTTCATTCAAGGATTGAAGAGCGTTGAAGCGAAAATTGATGAGCCATTCCGTTTTACAGTTAAAGGTGTGTTTTGTTACTTTTGCTATTATTTCATTATAACACCATTAACAATCATTAGTTTCACAAAAAAATATTTGTTTCAGTCGCCATTCCGCCTGAACCGTCGGTACTTTGGTACCGAGACGACCAGCCGGTGGACGAGTCATCTCGCTGCCATCACGGCCGGGAAGACCGCGGGGTGTTCTATTTGGACATCCAAAGCCTCGAATTCCTCGACCAAGCCGAGTGGAAATGTGTCGCGATGAACGATTTCGGACATAGCGTCACCTCATGTTTCCTTAAATTGATCATACCTAGACATTATAAAAAACCAAGATTCTTAGAGAATCTTCAAGCCATCTTATCGGATGAAGGCGCAGTGAACCTTGAATGTAAGGTCATCGGTGTCCCACAGCCTGTTCTTAAATGGTACAAAGATGGTGAGGAATTGAAACCTGGAGATATTCATAGAATTATATCGGGACAAGACGGAACTTGTTGTCTGGGAACTTACACTTGTGAAGCGCAGAATTGTATGGGTATTGCTGCTAGTTCTGCCTCACTTTTAGGATTTGATGATTCGATGAAGGCAAAAAAGAAGAAAGCAGAAGAACAGGCTTTACAAAGAAATTTGTCACTTAGTACAATCCACGAGGAAAGAACCTCGCAGATGTACGATACACCCGTTGGTGACGTCACCACCCTCGACGATAAAGGAGAAATTTCTTTCTCCTTTGACGGCAAAGAAGTGTCTGTCTCTCTTTATGAAACTCCTGATCTGACAGAAGAAGAAGCCTTACAAATTGTCGAAATGTACGCAGATCAGCTATCCGAAAATATTACTGAACACAATGTTGTTGAACTTCCTCCATTACGATTTGTAAAAGAAACGTCCACATCTGGTAATTTATTAATGGAAGCGGTCATTATTGACGTCTCGCCAGAATACTTCGTTTCACCCGACGAAGATATGCGTACAGAAGCTGATATCGATGACATTTCAATAGCAGACGAGAATGGCCCTCCTCAATTATCACTCGATCAAGATATAGAAATTGGTGGAGAGGATTATTTAGAAAAAACTATGGCATTACTGTCAGAAGAAAAGTCAGATTTATCTCTTAAATTCGGAAGGAAGAAGTCAGATTCCCAAAGAAGCGCTGATGACTTTTTCAGCTTATCTCGAGACCAGTCATTATCAGAAGATAAGAAAGACGATGATACTCAAGCAATATCTGACTTACAGAGTTTTGCTAGTGCACATAGTTCTGGAAAGCCAAAATCAAAATCTTCAAAACCATCCGGGGAAGATGGTCAAGAATCCTCCGAGCCCACAAAAACTATTTTACTTAAAGATGAAGCCGTAAAACACTCCTTAGATACTGACCCATCTCCTGTTATAAAAGCTAAAAGAGAGCGACGAACAAGCCGTAGCTCCAGGAGATCTAGCTCTGGCAGTGAGAAGTCTGTAAGTAAATCGAGAGAAGAAGCGCTTAAAAAGAAAGAATTGATAGAAATAGAAACTCCTACAAAACCTAAATTGAGTGATGAAGAATTCAAAAACAAAATGAACAGTATCAGTACCTCACTGTCGAAAGTAATAAATGATGTTCAAATAATTGAAAGGGATATAATACTTAAATCGGAACTCATGTCATCAGCTGCAACTGCTTCTAGAAGTTTAGAAATTATCAGTAGTCTAATATCTCCCTTATCTGAAATACACAGTATTACAGATGCTGCTAAAGAATCAGTTTCAGAGTCTAAAGAAGTCAGTAGCACACTATTCAATAATTTACCCCAGCCACTCAGAGCTCTTCACCAATCACTGACTATCATTGAAAAATGTATAGACATGGAAAGTGACAGTAAAACTCTTGTCAAAAAAACTTGTGTTGCATTTATTGAAACTTGTGGCAGTGAAGTACAAAAATTGGTTTCAGATATTAATTCTGTAACAGCTACAGACTATTTGCAGACTGAAGACAAAATTTTAACCGAAATAGAATCTTTGAATAATGAAATGAGTACTGTTATTAAGTTATCGGCAGACACCATAAAAGCTCGAAATTTGCTTAGCGAGGCAAGTGAAATAAAAGTTGAAGAACCTACCCAAGAAATAAAACATCTGAGGGATACGCAAAAAGCGGTGTTTGAATTAAAAAGTCCTCTTATGTCTCTTCTTTGCATAGCTGAAAGTGCTGATAGTGGTAAAATTGTAGATATTGCTAAAGTTCGTAATAGCGAAGTGATACTTAATGATATGTCCGCATCTATACAAGATCTGCAAACTGCTTTGGAACAAATTGAAACACTATCAGTTAAAGAATCAAATACCGCTTTACAAAAATACAATACTGAAATTATTGAAACGGTTATGGAATCGGTTGTTAAATTAAGAAGTTCTTTTGAGCAATTATCCACAGAACCCGAAGGTGAAGATAAAAACGTTCTGAAACAAGCAGTATTATCAATAAAAGAGAACCTAAATAAAATATCATCTCAAATCCAAGTTATTGAAAAGAATGTTGGCGTTTTTGATATTTTACAAAGTGAAAACAAATTGGATGCATTACAAAAGATGGCACAAATTCTTATTGCATTAGAAAACAATCTACCAAGATTGGAATCCATGCCGGAAGTTAAGAATCATCTGACTATGTTTCATAAAAACTTAACTAAAGTATTAGAAAATGTAATAGAGAGCAATGAATCTAAAAAATACTTTACTCTTATGGAAATTTGCGACGCTGTAAACAGAATTAATGCATCTATTAAAAATCTTGATGTTGATAACGTTTTGCCTTTAGCTAGCCTTAACAATACTTTACGAATAATCCAAGATCAGTTCATCACAAATGTTTTTGATTCCGAGCTCAATTGTGCACTTCTTACGAACATTTCTGATACTTTGGTTGGAATTCAGGAATGTATTAATACAGCCGTAGAAACAAGTGTACAAATAGATTCCGAGCATATTCAAGATATTGCTCCTCATATATACAATGAAACCAAAGCTAAAGTTGTTATCGAACATATTGATCATGCAATAGCAGCTATCGAAAATGTAAAGGCATTAGAGTCGACTCAAGAATTAAAAACAAATGTTGCTCCGACATTGGAAAACATTTGTCCTATTTTAGAAGAGCTCAAGCGGACTGTAGCCTCTATCAAAGCCAATGGAGTAGATGAAGAATATATTTCAGACATTTCAGATGCTTCATCGTTTGTCCAAACCTTTGCTACACCACTTTGTGAATTAAATCAAAATATTATTGTTCTAAATCAACAGATAATTGAAAATATTGAGAGTATTAAGCAAAACAGTGAAATTGTGAGTACAGTAGCTGAACCACTTCACGAATTGCATACAACATTAGAAATCTTACAGCAGGATGTAATATCCCAATATGGTGAAGATATTGTACCGTATGATGTCAGCGTCAACATGGCCAGCGCAGTCCAAAATCTACAAAGTTGTATTGTGATGATACAAGAACAAGCGGGTATGGAAGCAGCAGATGAAATGTCCACTTTGGAAGATATATCAGGAATAAAGACTACTGCGGAAACTATAGCATCTGATCGTTTGATTATACCAGCTACCGAGGAAATCGCTGTTGAACAGACGATTCTACCTTTCAACCAAGAATTGCAAACAACGGCTACAGCTCAAGCTCTACAATTGTTAAATGAACATATCACTGTTTTACAAAATCCAGAAATTATTGACGCTCTCGATACTCTATCTGAAGTTAGTGATTATTCTAGCTTAAAATCATTCGTTATAGGTTTAGGTGAACTTCACTCTGGAATTGAAGAAGTACTACACCCCCTTCTAATGGAAGGCTCCCATGAAATAACTAATTTAATTAATCCTTCAAAACTTATAGCTATTGCTGAACCAATGCAGGAGCTGCAGCAAAGTTTGTCGGTATTAGACACAAGCAACATTCCAATTTATGAAAATTTGTTAGAAATGCCGACGGAAAGAATACATTCCGTGATTCAGAACGTATCTGAATTTAAAGAGCATTTAGATAAGTGTATGCTCGCTATGTTTCCTGCTATGCATACTGCGGACAGTACTGTGGAAATAGCAAATAAAGTCGGTGCTTTGAGAGAAGTTTGTGAGCATTTAAAAGACATTATTGAAACTACTAAAGCCGAAGAACAGATTGCTGTCCCAGAAGAAGTTATAGCATTGAAACGGACAGTTGAAAGTTTACTAGATGCCACTGATGTTTCTAAAGGAATCAAAATCGATCAAGTTAAGTGCATAACAGAAGAATTATACGAAAAAGTGGGAGTAGTCCAAGAAGAACTCATTCAATTTACTCCACAAGCCCCAGAAAAGCTGGCACAAGAAGCAAAATTAATTCAAACCATTGATGAAGTTCAAAGCAATATCGCAGTATTGGAACAGTATGATTTCGTAGACCTTTCTCGTGTCTCAGATTTGACCTGCACCTCTCCACAAATGGCGGCTGAAATTGAATCCGACTCTTTAATGCTAATGGAAGATATAGTAGATAGTGCTGTGAACGTCGTGCAAGATTCAACACAAGATATGCCAATTGCTGACCAGATGATTGTAGAAGATTTCTATAAAACATGTAAAAGTGAATTTACTATCATGCGATGTCTAATATCTAAAGCTACATCTCATAAAAAGATAATTAGATTGCTGCAACAATTCAGCTCTTTACAAAGTACAATTAATGACTTTAAAGTAAAAAAATCGGAACTTAACTTGACAGATGATGTCAATGGCTGTTTGGCTACGTTTCTTATTCATGCTGAAGATTATCTGCAAAATGTTCGAACTTGTCTCGAAAAAATTGTTAAATCTCAATCAAAACTGTTGATAGAAGTTCCTTTATCTAAATTTGAAAATTCTGCTCTCATCCTAGATGCAATTAAAGAAACAAAGCACAATGAGCAAATTAGTGAAATAGTAAACAAGTTTGTTGAAATTTTAGAGATTGCTAAGCCTTCTTTGCAGTTTGTGCAAACCGACATTCTTGAAGAAATTAGATGTCCTAAATCCGATGCAGTTGACGACAACATTTTACCGAATAAGATCGAAGAATTTGCAACATACGTTGAAGTGGTAAAAAATAATAATAAAGATGTCAGTGCCAAAGAGATACTCGATAAAATTTCAACGTGTATCTCGAAACACAATGACTATAAAGATGCAACTGGCACAGGCAAGGCGTTGATAATACTAAAGTGTTTATCTGACTGTACGGATATTATACAAGAAGGTTTGCTAGAAGTTAAAACACCAAAACACAAATTAGAGGAAGGTCCTTTAAAAGCAGTTTTGACAGAAATGTTGGAACCACTTCAAGCACTACATAATCAATTAACAAATGTTCAAGAACAAGTACTTAAAGGTGTTGACGAAGATTCGATATCGGTCGACATAACAACAACAGAATCTCTAGTTCAAACCATGACAGAGAAACATAAGGAAATGATGGAGCGGATAGAAACCGAGGAAGCCATTGCCAATGAAGAGATAGCTTTAATCATGGAAGTAGATAAAGAGATACACTCTATAAATGACAGCTTGCGATCCATTGAAGGCGTCCAGGTTGCTCAGGTCGTAAAAGAATTAACAAAGCCAGTAGAAGATATTGAAAAGTCAATGCATGTTATTTTGAGTTCAGAAAAAGCAAACGTTTACACTGAAGATACACTTCCTACAGGTGAGTTTAAAAATGTATCATTAAGTATAAATTTTTATCATATAAAAATATGTGTAAGTATTTTTAGAATTCTTAAAAAGGTAAATTTACTACTACATAAAAGTAGCAGTGGATTTTTTTTCTTCTGTCTTCTTAATTTGGAATCAAATTTAATATTGAGAATAAAAAAAAATATTGAAAGTTTATCTCAAAATTTTTTGTAGATGTCAATTCGAATATTAATTCATTGGAAAGAGCAATAGACCGTTTCATAAATATTGAAATGGATTTATTGGTCGCATCTGGTACATTTTCGGATGCCGATTTAAATGAAAGTTTAACTATTGCAACTGAACTACAAGGACTATTGGCACTCAGCCAAGAAGAGTTAGCCTTGCAAAATGTAATCGACATAAAAACCAAAAAAATTAAGTCGCTTAAAGCTATTATGTCGAAATTCGATTGGCAAAGTACTGATGGGTTTATTGGAAAAAGTCAATTAGAAATTGAAAACATGAAGCAAGTATTCCTTGCGGCTTATCAGCTCTTGGTCGAATTGAAGAAAATTGATATTGTGGAAAATAAAGAAATAAAAGAAGGTAAAGTTGAGTGGATGTTAATAATACGGCTTGGTGGGATTGTTAATCAAAGCTTTGTACAAATGCTACCGTTACGCGAAAGAGTATTTTAAGTGTCCTAAACAAAAAAATTATAACTATGATAATATTTGGTTTGAATAACATTTCATGTCACAAAGAAAGCCAGACAAACATTTTCAACAAAATCATTAATGTCAAAACTCCAACTTAATTACCATTTAAGCAAAATGCGGTCTTTTAACAATCGAACATAATTAATGTAATTTATTTTAATATGCTTTACGTTTACATTGCATGTGTTGCTACCTCCTAATAAATTGTGAATATTTAATTTTCAGAAAAATCTAAACAATTAATTCAGCATATTGATCAATATATTGAGTTGATTGAAATAGTTGAAGAAATATCAGCTATCATTAAAATTGATGACATAAAAGAAACCATTGACATTGCAAAAGAGCTTCGAGAAAGTATAGTGGCAACAGAAACAATTGCAGAAAATGATGAAACCCGTTACAAGTTGATAGAAGTTCGTCACGAACAAAACAAGTTAGCGAAAAAACTGCAAACAGCGTTGTCAGCATTGCAAGTTCAAGTATTCGAACGTGCGCAAGAATTAGCTCCTGACCTAAGTACAGAAGTTTTGCAGCGAATTGCTCAAGTTGCTGCTCAGTTGCAAGCAGATTTGGTCGCTGTTACTGGTATCCGAGTAGCAGTACAAGCACCTTATGAATCTGTAGATGAAAGTGTCAAAACAATCGAATCTGTTGAAGGTCACTCAGCCGCTACCACAACAGAATTAGCAAGGGCAGCTGCAGGATCCGAGCCTACTGTTATGGAACAGACTGGAGTATTTGATCAATTATTATCGTCAGAGCAGTTAGTTGTAACAACAGAAATTTTGGCTAAGACAATCGCTGTAACTAAAGAAATTACTGCCTCAGAAGAAGTAAAACCTATAGAGACGGAAATAGTAACAGAAAACATTCTGCCTGAAACCGATCAAGCTCTAGCTATCGAAGGTAAAGAAGTTGTAGCTGTTGAAGAAACTGAATCTCTTACAATAAAAGAAGTTCCCGAAGAAGATGCAAAGTTAAATGTGTCTGAAATAGACCAAGTTCAGGAAGTAAGAATTACAAAACCGTTGATAACGGAGTCTGTAAGTGCCGTTGTTATTGAAGATCTTGGGCCTGAGTTACATGTAGTAGACGATAAAAAGCTGCCTGAAGTTGGACCAAGTCAAACTGCAGAAATACACGAGGCTCCTAAAGCGTCCATAGGTAATAATTTTGTTTGTGATTTAATATAACAGTATATTATTCTATGAATCAATAACTTACACCAAATTTATGGCATATTATATTTCTTAAATGTTTTTCTTTTTCAGAAATGTTAGTTCAGCATATAGATCAACTTATATCTGATGATTTAACTGAAGTGATAAATGAGCTATCAAATGTAATTGAGATTGAAGAATTGAAACAATCAATTCGTATTGCCAAAGAACTGCGTGAGAACATCATTGCTTCTGAAGTTGAATTAAAAGCAGAAACAAGCGATGTTTTAAAAGATGAAGTCAGAACACTGTATGAAAATCTAGCTCAAAAATTGTCTGAAGCTCTATCGGCACTTGAAAATACATCATTAGAAACTGTAGTTGAAAGCACTTCAATCAACAAAAATGACTTACAGCGTGTAACCGCAATCACTGAAAACATAAGAGCTGACCTGGTAGCCATAACTTCCACTCAAGGTATTCTTGACCAAACTAAAGACGTAAAACCTGATCAAATTACTATGGATATCGCCCAAGTTAAGGTTCCTGAGTTTGATGTCGGTCAGGTATCTTTTATTGAAAAAGAAGTTCTAAATGCACCAAGTGGAATTGCTGTTGAAGATAAACCTGCATCTGTTGAAATACAGCAACTGATTCCGGAAACTGAAGTACAAGAAACGAAAAGAGAAGACAACATTACTGAAGTTGTCGATACTAATAGTAAACTCGTTGAAGCACTTGCCATTACAGATGGAGAACCTGTAGAAGACGTGAAAACATGTGGAATTAATACCGTTGTGATAGAACAAGCGACATTGAAAACTGTGGAATCTCTCGGATTAGCGAGCACAGGTAATTGTTACAAAAATAATATAAATTTTAAGCTCCATTTTCGGTTTTATTACAAAACAGAATTTTCTTTAGACGAGTTCCAAACTATTGAGCCAGTTTTGGTATTTCGAATTAAAGTCAAGTGAGAATAAGATTCAGAATTCAAAACCAAACATAACTCAAACCTAGACTAGAGATACATCTTGTTTTTCATCCATAGAAATGTCAACGTCTAGGTAATAGAATATTATAATAATTTTTTGCATTCAACCAAGTTGATTTTTGTTTTTTTTTTGTTGTAATGGATCTGACCTGATGTTAATTAAGTGATTTCTACATGCGATTTGTTTATTTTTTTTTTCTTTATTTTTACTATGTTAGTTTAGAATAAATTGAAGAAAACTTTACACTCTCCGCTTACAATACTTTTTATCTCTACGCTGACACGAAAATAGATCTTAATGACGTTACATGAAATTACATATTTTCAGAAACACTGTTACAAAACATCAATGAATTCCTCTCAGACGAAAATATTAAAACTATCGATGAAATAGCTGCAATCGTAAGTGTTGATGACTTTAAACAATCGGTAGCCCTTGCGAGTGATTTACGTGAAAATATTGAAAGAACGTATAAAAATATTTCTGCAGTAAATATAGAAAAACTACTGAAACTTCAAACCGCTCTAAGTGTAGTGCAAGTACAGGCTTTGGAAACTATCAATGAACTAAGCCAGGTAGCTGACAAAGATAAGTTGCAACAAGTGGTTACTTGTAGCACTAACTTATCATCAGAACTTGTAATTATTATCTCTCAAATTCTTAATCTGCAAGATTCTTTAGAACGAAAGAATAAAACGGAAGAGACTGCAGCAAATAGTTTAGATATTGGTGAAGAGAATGATAATTGTAAACTAGTTGAACAATTAGATGATGGTGATTCTGTGGTCACTGATAAACACTTGAAACTTGCTGAAATAGTTGGTGAATCTAAAGAAAAATGTGAACTGGCCTGGCATGACGATGACATTGATATATTTATGGATCAGAAAGTCGAAGAAAACCCAGATTCAGGTACAGCAATCACTGCACCACACAAGATAAAATCGCAAGCTATCAAGTTGTCTGAGATTTCAGAATCGCTCGTAGAAACAAAACAACCGAAAGGAGAAGAAACGGATAGAACACAGATGCTAGAAAAGCAATCTGATGAATCTTTTGAAACGGTTGGAAAAAGCGTTGAATTAGCCGAACCTCCACCAGCTTCTACTATTGAATTGTCGGTAGTTCTAAATCAGTCTGAAAAATCAGCTCAGGCTAAGATTTCAGAAGAAATAAGTGACACCAATTTAACAGAAAATAATGTGATTTCAAATGAACAACAATCAGAATCGTCTGATGTATTATTAGAAAAACCAATTGATGATAATGATGCCAATCAAAGGCCTGACATTGAAAGTTCTAAAGTAGAAGTCGAAACTAAGTCTCTCACACTTTTCTCTAAATCAATGCCTGAAAAAACACTAATTTCTGAGACAAAGTCTAGAGAGACACAAGTACTAAGTGACACAATTTCGAAACTCAATCCAAAAGATAATTTTGAAATTTCTATAACTGATATAGCCTTGCATCAAACACAAGCTACAGAAGCTATTGAAACATCGGCAAAAGAAGTAAACTCCGAAGATTTTGATAAGACTGCATCCCAACAGTTATTGTCTGAAGAATGCCAAGAAACCAAATCCAGTGAAAAGTCACTAGCTTCAGACGTTCTACCTAAACAGGAGGCACTCACAGAATCCATAGTATCAGAAGAGCATAAAACGCCTGAAGTTGGACTCAAAAATCAAAAACTACAAGAGAAAGTATTTGAACATATTGAGCCAGGAAAGGCTTTAGATTTGAAAGTTCCAGAACTAAAACAGCATAGCAAAGAAGTCATACAAGAATCTAAACAACAGCTGGCATATCAAAGTCCTGACACTAAGCTGCCTGAACAACAAACTGATCTAGACAATATGTTATCATCTGAGCGAACTTGCTCTCAATCAGAGCAAGAAAATAAGATATCTTATATTGAAGAACAAATACCCTTACAGCAAGAAATTGACGTTATCATATCAGAAACGACAGACGATGTGACCGAAAACACACAGCTTCAAGAAATAGCTGCAAAAGTAAAACAACATCAACAGGAACAGTTTGGTATAGACGTTTTACAAGTATGCCAACAGCAAGTATTGGATGAAAACCAACAAAACCAACAATATAATCCTACAAATCTGACTCTGACAACTGTAACTAAATCTGCAGAAGAAAATAAACTATTACAACACGATATTGTAAATATGGTACAAACAGAAATGATAGAAAAGTTGGTTGATGAAAGCAGTCAGTCGCCTGAAACAGCCTCAGAGGTAAAACAATCAGATTTAGAAGGTAAAGTTGTAACAACTGATTCCGTGGACGTAACGTCAACAAATAAAACAGCTTTGGATATTAATCTGAAAGAAGATGATGAAGCCCTTTCACGAACTGAAACGACCCCACTTCAATCTACAGAAGTAAATGTAAAATCAGAAAAAAACTTAGTCGACTCCAAAGAACAGCAACCAACAACTGAGGTCGAAGAACAAAAACTACTTGAAAAAGAAATAACAAACGTCAGGCTAGAAGAGATAGAAGTACAGGTAATTGAGAATGTACAGGCATTGGAAACAGAAGCAAGTGAGAAACAACCACAGGGTAAAGAATTATATAAAGCGGTAGCACAAGAACAGCTAGTAAAAGAAACTTCTGATATACTAGATGGTTGTAAAATCAATCAACCAGTGGCAGATGAATTAGATAAAGCCGTAGCAGAAAAACCTCAAGATCAGGAAGTTAAAGAAACTTCTGATATATTTGACGGTTGTGAAATCAAACAAACATTGCTAGATGAATTAGATAAAGCCGTACCACCAAAAACTCAAGATCAGGAAGTAAAAGAAACTTCTAATACACTAGATGGTTTTGAAATCAAACAACCCGTGGTAGATGAATTAGATAAAGCAGTAGCACAATTACCTCAAGATCAGCAAGTAAAAGAAACTTCTGATATAATAGATGGTTGTGAAATCAAACAACCACAGGTCAGCGAGTTGGATAAAGTAGGAGTACAAACACCTCAAAATCAGCAAGTAAAAGAAACTTCTGATATATTAGACGGTTGTGAAATTAAACAAACATTGGTAGATGAATTAGATAAAGCTATAGCACAAAAACTTCAAGATCAGGAAGTAAAAGAAACTTCTAACACACTAGATGGTTTTGAAATCAAACAACCCGTGGCAGAAGAATTAGATAAAGCAGTAGCACAATTACCTCAAGATCAGCAAGTAAAAGAAACTTCTGATATACTAGATGGTTGTGAAATCAATCAACCAGTGGCAGATGAATTAGATAAAGCCGTAGCACAAAAACCTCAAGATCAGGAAGTAAAAGAAACTTCTGATACACTAGACGGTTTCGAAATCAAACAACCAGAGGTAGACGAGGTAATTAAAGTAGGAGCACAAACACCTCAAGATCAGCAAGTAAAAGAAACTACTGATAAACTAGATGGTTGTGAAATCAAACAACCAGAGGTAGACGAGGTAACTAAAGTAGGAGCACAAACACCTCAAGATCAGCAAGTAAAAGAAACTACTGATATACTAGATGGTTGTGAAATCAAACAACCAGAGGTAGAGGAAGTAATTAAAGAAGGAGCACAAACACCTCAAGATCAGCAAGTAAAAGAAACTACTGATATACTAGATGGTTGTGAAATCAAACAACCAGAGGTAGACGAGGTAATTAAAGTAGGAGCACAAACACCTCAAGATCAGCAAGTAAAAGAAACTACTGATATACTAGATGGTTGTGAAATCAAACAACCAGAGGTAGAGGAAGTAATTAAAGAAGGAGCACAAACACCTCAAGATCAGCAAGTAAAAGAAACTACTGATATACTAGATGGTTGTGAAATCAAACAACCAGAGGTAGACGAGGTAATTAAAGTAGGAACACAAACACCTCAAGATCAGCAAGTAAAAGAAACTACTGATATACTAGATTGTTGTGAAATCAAACAACCAGAGGTAGAGGAAGTAATTAAAGTAGGAGCACAAACATATCAAGATCAGCAAGTAAAAGAAACTACTGATATACTAGATGGTTGTGACATCAAACAACCAGAGGTAGACGAGGTAATTAAAGTAGGAGCACAAACACCTCAAGATCAACAAGTAAAAGAAACTTCTGATACACTAGACGGTTTTGAAATCAAACAACTAGAGGTAGACGAGTTAGGTAAAGTAGGAGCACAAACATCTCAAGATCAGCAAGTAAAAGAAAATACTGATATACTAGATGGTTGTGAAATCAAACAACCAGAGGTAGAGGAGGTAATTAAAGTAGGAGCACAAACACCTCAAGATCAGCAAGTAAAAGAAACTACTGATATACTAGATGGTTGTGAAAGCACTACTACTGCAAAAGTAGAATCAGAAAAACCTCAATCAACCTATGTCGAAGATATCGACGTAATTAGTGTTACTACCTCAAAGTCACATCCAGAGGAGACACAATCACAACCAACAAAGATTGCCCTCGGTAATTAAAAAAGTTATAATACGCTAACTATAACATTTCGTTTAATTTTGTAGAAATGCTTTTTGCGGCAAACTCAAAATAGCACAGTATGGAAACAAGTTGGTTAGTTCGTCTATTTAAATGGCTTCATTAAATTAAACTTTTATATAAACACAAAAACGTTTTACGAACTTATGAACTATTCTACAATAACGAAGCTGGCTAAAATTAAACTTTGCGAAGCAGTCCGTTTCATTTGATTTTAACCTAATCATTTAAGTAGCACATACTGTTTTTTTGTCGTCCCTGCACTGGATGTAGATGTGGAAAGTGATTCCCGAATATAACATAAAAAATAATAATTTGGAATTTTAGAATTGATCTATAATACTGAAACTGATAAACGGAATTGAGAAATGTGATTTAATATAATTGTGTAAAGCATTCATTGCATTTCGATGAATGTGGATGTTTCCTTAGTTATCCGGTGGCAAATGTAGTTTCGATTAGGTTAAATCTAAATGATCCCTAGAGTATATATTTCATACTGTGCGGTTAGCATTTTAACGGCTGGTGACTATAAATAGCACTAACTTACTGATTCATTTGTTTCATATACATCATTAAATAACTAATGCGTAGAGCATTATTGCATCGTGAATATCATTATCTCATCTTGATAAATATCTTATACTATTCGATATAGAAATATATTTAGAGAAATTTTACTTACCGTCCTTAAATTTTTCCAAAGTTTAAAATGTATAAGTTTATATAAAATATTATATCTACCAAGTAACCTTCACACTTGATATGTTTTTATAAAGTTATTATTATTTTGATTGAAAAAGAAACAATGGTTGAACAGAGAAAAATGTAACAGAATTTTGATTTCAAAAACTCTTTTCAACAATCAAAAGACTGGTACTATTTTTATACGGATATGATAAATTAGTATTGTAAGAATTTAATTATCGTTACGACTACCCCAAAATACATTTCTATACATTTAACTTAGAGAATTCTGCTTATTACAAAAACACCTAATGCATACAGCATATCAGCTCATAACTATATGACATAGAAAAAAAAATAACTCATATAAAACATTACACTAACACACTACATTACACATATACAAAACACGGATACAAAACAATAAACAATTGCGACGTTCATTAAATCGTAATTAAATTGAACTACATGTAAGTTGTAGATTTTACTACATCGATTGGTGTAGTTTAACTTATTGAAATATTAAAGGACTAAAAATATCTCATTAATCCTTAAAACCTTTAAATCCTTATTAAACAACCACATAAAAAAATCGTGTAATTTGGTGTGCAGTACTAAAAGATTGATTTCTTACTCGAATAACAGCAGTATTTTGCTAAAATAAAACAAGTAATAATAAGAACTAAAAATTGACTGAATCTTATATTCCCATAAAAATATAATCTATGATTTTTTACAGACACGCTCACACACACCATTGATCAATTTTTGTCCGATGAAATTACAAATATAGTTAAAAAATTGTCGGAGTCATCTAACAATTTAGAACTCTCTCAATCCTTAATATTAGCTAAAGAACTTTTTAATAACTTAAATACTAGTCAAGCAACGCCAGGCGACCATCAAGCTCAATTAATTCAAGATTTAAATAGTTCCTTACTGACATTGCAACTAGTAGCACTAGAGAGCGTAGAACAACCAGATCCAATTGCAAGCAAAGAAGCGTTATACAAAATTCTCGATGTGGCAGAGTCTTTAGCCACCAAACTCGATCCTCTATTATCTTCAACACATCAAGATACTGGTATAGAGAATGAAACTAAATTGCAAGAATGTGAACTAGATAAGACTGAAGTGCTAAACAAAGAAGAAAACGCTGAACCTGATACATCGCAGATTTCACTTCAACAAACGAATGTTGATACTAAAACATATATTAACAAAGATACAGACAATCCTCGTGGATCGGCGGAACATAGCAGTGAAATAGACACCACGTCAACGGCTCGTGGCGAGATATTAGAAACATTACTTATAGAATCTGCTAAAACGGTAATGATTCCGGTTGTCGGCAATGTTTTGAGTGAAGATTTGCCATCTGTATTAGAATTGCTTACTCCGGACGTATCTGTTGTTAATCCAGAATCAGGTGATATTCCACTTGGTGGTTTCATAGAAGTTTCTTCAGAAGAAACCCAAGCAATGGAAATTAAAGAAGACACGATGTTGAACATTAAAACTGGTAAAGTAATACTTTTTCTGGCAAAAACAATTTTTTATTAGTTAAATAAACGCTTTGGCTTTGTACTGAATGTTACTTAAATAGTTATAGTTAAGACTACTGGCTAAAATGTAGTTTAATTTATTATGTAACATATAATATGCAATTATATTAGTTTAAATATTGCCATAATCAGATCAGATCAGATATTTTAGATCAGATCAGATATTTTATAAAAAATACTAATAGTTGTCACATATAAGTTGAACTTAAAATAATAAGAAATACGTATTTCAGTAAATCAAATGATAAAACAAAAGAAAATGTTGATGTAAAATGTATCAACCCAATGAAAGCATCCGAATCTAGTTCCGAAATTTTAATAATCTTAGGAGATGAAATAATCTTTGAAAATGAAAAAGATTTAAAATCCAATGATAAATTAGGGCGTATTAATTTAGAACAACAATTAAACGCTCAATTATTCGAGGCAACTGCTGAGAAAAGAGCTGCAGAAGAAAATATTACTCAATTAAATTCAGATTAAGCCGAAGAAACAAAGATAAGTAGATAGTGAATATCAAATTTTAAAAGTCAATATAAACATAAATTTAATGTTATTAAAAATGAAGAAAAACAATTTCAAACGATTTCAAGTGCTGTCTTTGCGGAATCCATACGAAAAGAAACTGGTTGGGTTTGAAATAGGTCTAAAAAATAGTGACCCTTAATGGTAAAAGATTTCTATTTCTTCAATCAAAATATTCTGGCGTTGTAGTTAGGTCTATTAAAAATAACAAAATTTAATGCTATTTGCAAATATAACATTAATTTAAACAAATCTGAAGGCGTTATATTAAATTGAATTCTTAAAATCAGAATATTATTGTATGTTTGGTATTCATATTTCAGTTTCTCGGTACCTATTTTTCTAAATATTTATGCTTACGATCTGACTAGCATAACACACGATTATTTAAGCACAATCAAGTAACATATTTTCGGACACACTCTCTGAAAACCTCGAAAGGAAATTTGAGGACGTATCTTGCACCTAATAAACTACAGAAAATGTAAATAAATGAGTATTTACCTGAACTGATTTATGAAGAAGATTACATTGCCGTCTATGAATCTATTTTAAAATCAGTTAATTGGTCTGAATACTTCTCCAGTTGTGTGTGTGTGTGTGTGTGTGATTTGTTTCTTTTACAGGCTTTACTGACTCCCAGTAAAGCCTGTAAAAGAAACAAATCTTGATTATGCACACTAAATAACGAGTAAAAAGAGAGTTGAATGGAGCTGTAGAAAACTAAGTTATTTATTGGAAATCGTTTGTATTGACGAAACTCTTCCTGAATTAACAATAGTAAGATAGGAAGTACATACAACGAAAACGCAAATTCAATGCCACATATTGATGTGAGTAGCAAAGTAGCTTGCCATAATGATAAATCTTAAGATGAAACTGAAAACATACTATTCCGGGAAACCAAAACAACTACCTCAATAATATAAGAAATGGTTGTTCACATTTCTCAACTTAGTGATGATGTCAAAAATAATGCGTTTACACAAACGGAAAAAATAATCTAAAAGAATATAGAAGAAAATTACAAAGTAATCGTTAACAGTGTAGAAGTGGTTGCACTTGAACAAATTCTGATCAATGAAAATGAATTTCAAGTTTTAGAAGAAGTTACATCTATCACGCAGAATATTTCGGAAGAAATACTAAATATCAGTAATTTTGAAGATCCTTCTGAAGAAATTAATGAAAACTGCATATTGAACATACAATCTATCATTCTTTATTCTCCGAATTCTACAACAGAATAAAAGATCGGGTTACTAACAGTTCAATGTTCACAAAATAAAATGTTTGTTGATTGTTAGTAAATTGAGGCAATTTTCCCAGAACCAAGCCTAAGTTTTGTTTAATTTAAAATTTTTGCGACTGATTTTTTTTTAATATAAAAAAATAAACGCTAAAAACACAAAAATGCTTTAGCAACAGAACTTGAGACTAATGAAAAAATGGTCTTCGCTATTAAACGGGGCTTATGTTGTTAAAAATAATTGATGAGATAATAGAAGATGCAATCAAAATTATTAAAAATGAAGCGTTTGTACCTAAAAATAATCGCCACTTATTTTGGAACAACCTTGAAAACCTAATTCTAAAACACATATTTTTAATTTCCGAACCATTAACACCGAAAGCCGACAAATATTTATCACAGATTCAGACAGAAAGCAACCAAAAACCAATATTAGATGATGAAGACATGGCATTGACTGGTTTGATAGGCAATGAGACCAATGACACGTTAATATTTGAATCTGTTTTTCCAATAGATATCGCAAATAAAAAGGCGCGTCTTATAAGATCTACGGAAACTTCGACAAAAATACATACACCAACGACAATGGCCGTTTTTAGAAATATAAAATCGTTTTATAATGTAGAATCAAATGAGAATATGCCAATTTAACGAATTTTAATAAACAAAATAGGATAACGAAAATTCAGAATTAGTTGTTGGAAGTGTAAATGTGGGTAAACATTAAGGTTTTAAGTAACACTTAACAAAGACAAGTACTCAGACGCTAACAGTATTCCGCAGTTTTGTTAAAAAATCAAATACATATCATGATTTAGCTTTAATTCGTCTTAAATTCATATCGGCAATTTCTATAAGACAAAACACTTTACATTAGCACACAACCTAAACATGCACACTTTTATATTAACTTAATACTAGCATCTGAAAATTAATTAAATTTGAATAATTTGTAATCATATTTAATGATATTATTTCCAGGAAAAACTGCTCTTATTCAACACATTAACGAATTTATATCAGATGAAACAATAGATTTAGTATCTGCAATCTCAGAGTTGAAAAATTCTCAAGAATTAAAAGAGTCGATTGAACTAGCAAAATTATTAAAAGAAAGTGTTGAAATAATTGAAGGAGAATCACTTGAAAACACTAAAGTTAAACAGGTTAAATTAGCTCAAGAATTACAAAATGCTTTGATGACATTACACAATAAGGCTTTGGAAAGTACTGAGGATATTAGTTCGATGAGTAAGCCTAACGCTCTCCAAAAAGTGTCTGAAGTCATCACACACTTGCAAGAAGATTTAGAAAAGTCTACTGACATATTACCGGAAGTACTCCAGACTGCAGAAATAGGTTTGTCTTGCTACACATTGCGTAAATTGTATACGAGAACTACCTATATATATTCTACTTATTTATTACGTATTCATTATGTTTGTTTTCAGTTGAAATCCCAGATGAACAAAATTCAATGAAACAGCTTGAAATACTGCTCCAAGAAGTGACGGATAAAATAAATATTCCTACAGTTAGAGAAGTTGAAGACACGGAAGCCCTAAGAGACGCACTGGATGAAGTGCAGACGGTGATCATTAAACTAAAATGTGATTACGACGGAGCTGCAAACGACACTCTAAATGAGACACTTGAAGATTTGGAATGCAGCGTGAGGAGTGTACAGTTACAAATTAACGAAGATAGTCCACCAGAATTACTTAAAGATGCGTGCGCGACATTACAGCTGCTTGTCAACAATATGAGTGAAACTCAAGAAGTACAGGCTGCTGAAACTGTATCCGTGGAGGTAAACAATGAAAATATTCTCGAGAAATGTTCCAGTGAGTCGAATGAAACAATGAAACTCTTAGAAGAAGCTTGTAAAGTTGATGTTAAAAATGAAAACTTGGCCGGTATTGTGTCCAATCTAAATATACTTAAAGACACGATCAAAACGCTCAAGCTCAGTTTTGGAAGTAATGCTGAAGTTTTAATTGAAAAAGGAGTTGAAGTCACACAAACACTTGACCAGTTAGAAGACAAAGTATTTTTGCTTGAAAAAGAATTGGCTGAAGTTAATCTTAGTACAGACATCCGGGATCATATACTAACAGCAGTTCATTCTGTTTACGGAAGTATATCTAACATGCGAGGTACAATTTCAAGCATACAAAAGAGATATATGTTCGAAAACTATGGGAAACCGTCAGAAACTTTATTAAAATCAATTAAAAATATATCTGGAATACTAGACATTGAAAAAGACGACCAAACTTGTTGGAAATCATTTACAAAATCACTTCGTAAGGTATTAAATCATTTCGAAGATATCAAATTTTACATCAATCTAGATAAAACAGCCAGACTTCCAAGCGATGCCGCATTTACTAAAATCATATTAGAAGAGCTCAAAAGTAATGTATGTGAAGTACTCGTACCCAAAGCTTCATTATTAGATGAAGAAGCAGTTAAAAAAGTTAATGATTTGATAGAATATGTAAACAAATGTCTTACAGACATTGAGTCAAAGTCCACGCTAGAAGTTAAGGAAAAAATCCCGGTATTCAAAGAAATCTCAGCTCAAATACTTAATGTGACTGAACTAATAAAAACAAAAATGACTGAAAAAGTTAAACAATCAATATCCGGAAAACAAAACGATCATGAACTACTACAACAGGAAGCTACTTCATTGGAAAAAGTATCTCAAAAGCAAGAACTTAAGATTGTGGCAGCTGAAGGAAAGTCAGAGTCAGGTGTAAAATTTGACGATGCTCGTACATCTCAGGAAACGGAACCAAGAGAAGAGAGCTATCAAGTACTGGAAACTGTGAGTCAAACGGATGTCGGAGAAACGAGTACAAAGAAAGCTAAAGTACGCAAAACAGTTATGATTCAAGAAGTCGATATAAATGAGATTCAACAAATTGCTACCGAGCTAGTTGATGAAATAGCCATCCAGGCTATATTAGCTGTACAAAATTTGGAAGAACTAGGTACGTTAGGCAGAGAAGCAACTGACACTGGAATGCGAGATGATGAGATTATTCAAAACGCTGAAATAAGTGAAATAGCTGTAGAAGAAAGAATTGTTTCTGAAGAACCAACTTTAACTAATGTTGAAGCAGGTGAGATTGCAACTGAAACAGATCTTCCAGAATATCAGTTAGAAAGAAAAGAAGAACAAAAAATAGACATTCTCAACACTACACAAGACAAACAGATACCAGCACAATCATCTGAGATTGAAGCTGTAGTTTCAACTTCCGACGTAAAGACTGACATGGAACAGGAACCGCAAACTATGTCAAAAGAAGAACTATCTGCAAATAAAACTCAAATAGATATGGAAGGTGAAAAAGAAACTCGTTTATCAACACAAGTAGTTCAAGAGATAATGGAAAAAGAACAAGATTTAGCGCATGATATCCAAAAGGAAGATAACAAAACATGTTCAGAAGACATTGACTCGGAAAAGCTTATGGAAGAAGTACAAAGTCCTTCAAGTAGTTTAACTTCGGGAACTGGACGCTCCAAACTTTCTGCTTCCGAAAAAGAGGATAGTAATAAAAATAAGGGTGAAATTGAATTTAGTCAAATGGAAACAGACGATCAGAACCAAACAGAGGCAGCAAGGCAATCTGTGAGTAGTTCCATAGAAAGTAAAGATGCAGATACTACTGAAAATTTCCAAAATCAGGTTACAATCGAATCTAAGATTGAAGCAGTGGGAACTGATCAAGAAACAGAGAGTTTCACTGAAAAGGAACAAGTGACGCGGGAAATAAAAGATTTGACAGAAAAAGACCAAGCACAGCTAGAAACAAAACAAGAAATTCTGCATCAAGTTGATAAACAACAAGTCGAGAAATCCGAGGAAAGAGAAACGTCAACCTCAGCAACCGGTAAAGATTCAAAAGAAAAACCGGACATAGAAGCCACCCACTCCGAGAAGTCCCGAGAAGATGTTGTTTCTTTCGCAGAAAATGATGAAAATCCTTCATTAAAAATAGAAACCAAGCAAGTTGAACTCACTGCAAATGAAACAAAACAAGATAAACTGGAGGTAAAACCTACAGACCTTGAAAAAATAGTTGTCCAGCAAGTTGACCAAATCGAAAAAGAAAGTGCGCAAATAATGAATGAATCAGAAGATGGAGAAATCGAACAAACTAAACGAAAAGAAAAAACTGAAGCTCATGCAGAAGAAAACCAGATAGAAAATGAAGAAACATTACAGGCTGAAACTAAACAACTAGAAATGAAGACTGACGATCTGGTAGGATCGAAAGCTGATTTAAAACAAAAGGACTTTGAGTCAGAAAAACAATTAGAAGCAGAAGTTGTACAAAAACAAGCAGCTGAAATAGAAACAAAGCCAGATGAAGATGAAGAAGGAAGTCCAAAATTACCACAAAAGGAGAAACCAATTGAAGAAGGAAAAATTGAGGATCCAGACTCAACTAAAGCACAAAAAGTAAAAGAACTAGTAAAGCCTAAAATTGAAAAAGAAGAATCAGAAAAAACCGATCAACAACAAGAGGTAGTGTTTACAAAATCGACAAATGAAAAAATGGAAGAAAAGAAAACAAAAGATGACGATCAGCTGTTGGAAACGGAAAAGAAACAAAGAAAGGAAGAAACAAAAACGAGAGAAGAAGCTGAAAAGATTGAACAGCAAGAAAAAGAAGAAATTACAACTTTAACTTTAAGAAATGACGAATCAAAAGACACCGAGGAAACAGTAGACTTAGAAGCCGAAAAGGAACAGCGAAAAGCAGATAGTGCTGATACGAAATCCAAAGAGGGAGAAAGTAAAGTAAAACTTGAAGATAAAAATAAAGAAGAGAAGGAAAATGAAGATGCTAAACAGATAACAGAATATGAAGCAGAAAAATCAAGAATAGAAAATGAGAAAAAAGAACTAGAAAGACTTGAGTCAGATAAAGACGTTGAAATTAAAACAGAGAAATCAAAACTTGAAAATAAAATGGAACTTGAACAACTAACAGCCAAACAGGCTCAAAGAGACGAAGAAGATACCGCAAAATTAGTGAAAGAAATAACGCATAAAGACGAAGAAGTGAAATCGAGATTTGAAGTTGATAAAAAGGAAGAAGACGAAAGAAAGACAAAACAAGACGCTAAAAAAATTAAAGATGATGAGGGCGAATATTCAAAGCATGAAGCTGACAAGAAACGAAAAGAAAAAGAAGAAGCAGATTTAGATGCTAAAATGAAACTTAAAGACGAAACAAATGAAAAGCCAATATCTGAAAAGAAACAAACAGAGCAAAAACAAGGAGACAAGAAAGGAAGCAAAGAAGATGAAGAAAAAGTAAAAGCTGAAGAAAATAAACGTGAAGAAGATTCCGCTAAATTAGTAGAAAAGACGAACAAGGAAAAATCTGCATATCTAGAAGCTGAAACTCAACAAAAAGAAGAAAAAAGGAAAGCAAAAACAGATGCTCAGACGAAAAGCAAAGAAGAAGAGAAAGCAACCATAGAAACTAAAAATAAAATATTAAAGGAAGAAGATAAAGCAAAAATAGATAATGAGGATAAGCAGAAAAAACAAGAGGAAAAAGCAAAAATAGATGTTGATGATAAACGTAAAGAGAAAGAAAAGGCCATATTAGAAGCGGATAGGAAACAAAAAGAAGAAGAAAAAGCAAAAAATGATGCTGAGAAGAAACAAAGAGAGGAAAAAGAAAAAGCAAAAATAGATGCTGATAATAAACGCAAAGAGGAAGAAGAAAGGGCAAAAATAAGAGCTGAGAAAGAACGCAAAGAGGAGGACGAAAAAGCAAAAACAGATGCGGAGAAGAAACGCAAAGAGAAAGAAGTAAATGCAAAACTTGATGTGGAGAAGAAATGCAAAGAGGAAGAAGAAAAAGCAAGAATAGAAGCTGAAAAGAAACACAAAGAGGAAGAAGAAAAAGCAAATATAGAAGCTGAGAAGAAACGCAAAGAAGAAGAAGAACAAGCAAAACTTGATGCGGAAAAGAAACGCAAAGAGGAAAAGCAAAAATCAAAACTTGGTGCCGAGAAGGAAACCAAAGAGGAAGAAGAAAAAGCAGAAACAGAAGCGGAGAAGAAACGCAAAGAGGAAGAAGAAAAAGCGAAAATAGGTGCGGAGAAGAAACGCAAAGAGGAAGAAGAACGAGCAAAACTTGATGCGGAGAAGAAACGCAAAGAGGAAGAAGAACAAGCAAAACTTGATGCGGAGAAGAAACGCAAAGAGGAAGAAGAAAAAGCAAGAATAGAAGCTGAAAAGAAACACAAAGACGAAAGAGAAAAAGCAAATATAGAAGCTGAGAAGAAACGCAAAGAAGAAGAAGAACAAGCAAAACTTGATGCGGAAAAGAAACGCAAAGAGGAAAAGGAAAAATCAAAACTTGGTGCCGAGAAGGTAACCAAAGAGGAAGAAGAAAAAGCAGAAACAGAAGCGGAGAAGAAACGCAAAGAGGAAGAAGAAAAAGCAAAACTTGATGCTGAGAAGAAACGCAAAGAGGAAGAAGAACGAGCAAAACTTGATGCGGAAGAGAAACGCAAAGAGGAAGAAGAGAAAGCAAAAATAGAAGCGGAGAAGAAACGCAAAGTGGAAGAAGAAAAAGCAAAACTAGATGCGGAAGAGAAACGCAAAGAGGAAGAAGAAAAAGCAAAAATAGGTGCGGAGAAGAAACGCAAAGAGGAAGAAGAACGAGCAAAACTTGATGCGGAAAAGAAACGCAAAGAGGAAGAAGAAAAAGCAAAACTTGATGCGGAGAAGAAACGCAAAGAAGAAAAAGCAAAACTAGATGCGGAAGAGAAACGCAAAGACGAAGAAGAAAAAGCAAAACTTGATGCTGAGAAGAAACGCAAAGAGGAAGAAGAACGAGCAAAACTTGATGCGGAAGAGAAACGCAAAGAGGAAGAAGAGAAAGCAAAAATAGAAGCGGAGAAGAAACGCAAAGAGGAAGAAGAAAAAGCAAAACTAGATGCGGAAGAGAAACGCAAAAAGGAAGAAGAAAAAGCAAAAATAGGTGCGGAGAAGAAACGCAAAGAGGAAGAAGAACTAGCAAAACTTGATGCGGAAAAGAAACGCAAAGAGGAAGAAGAAAAAGCAAAACTTGATGCGGAGAAGAAACGCAAAGAAGAAAAAGCAAAACTAGATGCGGAAGAGAAACGCAAAGACGAAGAAGAAAAAGCAAAACTTGAGGCTGAGAAGAAACGCAAAGAGGAAGAAGAACGAGCAAAACTTGATGCGGAAAAGAAACGCAAAGAGGAAGAAGAAAAAGCAAAAATAGATGCGGAGAATAAACGCAAAGAAGAAGAAGAACAAGCAAAACTTGATGCGGAGAAGAAACGCAAAGAGGAAGAACAAAAAGCAAAAAAAGATGCGGAGAAGAAACGCAAAGAGGAAGAAGAAAAAGCAAAACTTGATGCGGAGAAGAAACGCAAAGAGGAAAAAGAAAAAGCAAAAATAGAAGCGGAGAAGAAACGCAAAGAGGAAGAAGAAAAAGCAAAAATAGATGCGGAGAATAAACGCAAAGAGGAAGAAGAACAAGCAAAACTTGATGCGGAGAAGAAACGCAAAGAGGAAGAACAAAAAGCAAAAATAGAAGCGGAGAAGAAACGCAAAGAGGAAGAAGAAAAAGCAAAACTTGATGCGGAGAAGAAACGCAAAGAGGAAGAAGAAAAAGCAAAAATTGAAGCGGAGAAGAAACGCAAAGAGGAAGAAGAAAAAGCAAAAATAGAAGCGGAGAAGAAACGCAAAGAGGAAGAAGAAAAAGCAAAACTTGATGCGGAGAAGAAACGCAAAGAGGAAGAACAAAATGCAGAAACAGAAGCGGAGAAGAAACGCAAAGAGGAAGAAGAAAAAGCAAAACTTGATGCTGAGAAGAAACGCAAAGAGGAAGAAGAAAAAGCAAAACTTGATGTGGAAAAGAAACGCAAAGAGGAAGAAGAAAAAGCAAAACTTGTTGCTGAGAAGAAACGCAAAGAGGAAGAAGAAAAAGCTAAACTAGATGCGGAAAAGAAACGCAAAGAGGAAGAAGAACAAGCAAAACTTGATGCGGAGAAGAAACGCAAAGAGGAAGAAGAAAAAGCAAAACTTGATGCGGAGATGAAACGCAAAGAGAAAGAAGAAAAAGCAAAAATAGATGCGGAGAAGAAACGCAAAGAGGAAGAAGAAAAAGCGAAACTTGATGCGGAGAAGAAACGCAAAGAGGAAGAACAAAAATCAAAAATAGAAGCGGAGAAGAAACTCAAACAGGAAGAAGAAAAAGCAAAACTTGATGCGGAGAAGAAACACAAAGAGGAAGAAGAAAAAACAAAACATGATGCGGAGAACAAACGTAAAGAGGAAGAAGAAAAAGCAAAAATAGCAGCTGAGAAGAAACAGAAAGAAGAACAAGAGAAATCAAAATTAGAAGCTGAAACTAAACGTAAAGACCAAGAGAAGAAGCAGAAGAAAGCGGAGAAAAAACGAAAAGAAGAAGATACCAAATTGGACAAAGATAAGAAACTGAAAGAGAACAAAGAACAAGAAGAGCTACTCGAAACCCAATCTGAAAAACGAGATAAAGAAAAGAGGGCAGCTGATAAAAGACTTAAACAGGAAGAGAAGGAAAGGTATGAGATGGAGATGAAAGTTCAAAAAGAAAAGGAAGAATTAGAACAAAAAATCAAAGAAGAAGAAAGGATAAAAGAAAAACAAATACAGGAAACAAAAGCAAGAGATGAAAAATGTAAGCAAGAAAAAGAAGAAAAAAAAGAGAGAGAACAGAAAAGAATAGAGAAACTAGAAAAAGCAAAAGAGGAACAAAAAATTCATGAAGATGAAGAGAAAGCAAGATTAGAGAAGAAAAGAATCGCTAAAAAGAAACGAGAAGATGAAGACGCACGCCTTAAATTAGAGGATGAAAAAATTGAAAAATCAAGAAAAGAAGCAGCGAAGAAGAGAAAAGTTGAAGAAAAACTTCGTCTTGCGGAAGAACAAGAACAACTTGAAAAAAGAGAACAGGAAATGAGAGAGACAGAAAGAAGAATACGCGAAGAGAGACGACGAGACATAGAGAAAGATTTATTTGATACCAAACAGAAGCCATCCACATCAGGGCTTGAACCTTTATCAGAATCGAGACCGAGAAACGGCGATATTTTCGTAAAACGCGGAACTGACGAGGATCATTACATAAAAGAATATCACTATGAACCAACAAAGGAAAGATCTCAAGACCGGTCCAAGTTTGTGGATCACAACCATAGGGATTACACGATGGAATTTATTCGGCCATCTAGCTACAGAGAAAAAACATTTGAACACGAAAGGTTCTCAGAAAGAGAAAGTTTGGGTAGAAATGCTACCATATACAAAGCCCAAACTATAATTTTGGATTCACAACTAAGATCGTCTGTCCCGCCATTGGCTGAGAGGAGTGAGTCTGAAAGACGGGATAGGTTTGACAGAGGTGAATCCGAGAGACGAGTAGACCGTCACAGATCCAAAGCTCTAAGCGAAGCTAGGAGTTTAATATCGGAGAAACGTTCCAGTGTTTCCAGGGATTTGAAGAGAAAACCAGTATTTTCGACATACCTTACTGATCGAACTGCCGTCGAAGGTTCAAGAGTAAAACTGACATGCAGTGTTTTGTCCTCAAGTGATCCTAAAATCACATGGTACAGGAATGGCATTCTTTTGGACAACAAATTAAAGTATAGAACAAAATTCATCGATGGGTTAATAACCCTAGAAGTTTTAAATGCCGTTGTCAGTGATTCTGCTGAATACAGCTGCACTGTAGAGAATGAGAATGGATCGGTCAATACTTCCGCTAATCTGAAAGTGTACCCCAGCTTTGAGGCGTCTCCTATACCGCCAACATTTACGAGGTCTATTCGTGGTAAGTTATTTAGCTATTAATTATTAAGGTATTCAATTAGCTGTCGAATATTTGAAAAATTATCATTTAATAAAATTTTGTACAACCATTTATGCAAACTATTCCACTTATTTCCATTGGCAGTCAAAGTATATGGATATTAAAAACTAGTTACTTAAAAAATATATACCTATTTGAGTATACAAATTAGATATCGAACATTTTTTCGCAAGGGCTACTTAAGACGTAAGAAGTGTTTTAGATATCCATGAAATCCTACCACTAAAAAAGCTCCTTGAATGTTATATTAAACTATAGTATTATTTTAATTATTATTTAAAAAGTGATAGGCGTGTCGTAATATAAAATTAAATTTTCATTTAACGTAATAATATATACTTGTGGAAACATTTTGGTATGTTGTAGTGTGTTAAATGATGAACACTTTTAGTCCGTAATATAATACACTGATAATATTAAACTTATATTATAGTTATTAAAGAAAGTTTTAAGTAGAGGCTGGTATCACTCAGTGATTTGTAAAACGTTTACGTGAGCGTTTCTTCAAGTTTGTTTTTTAAGAAGAAATAATATGTAAGTTTTTTCTCTAGATACAACTTCTTAACATCACATCTATCAAACTGTAAGGGTTACACCAGAAATTAAATGTCATTTATTGAGTGCCGAACACCGTCTTTGAGCTTTCAAAACAATTTTTCATAATAAAATATAAAAGGCTATGTTTTTATAAACTGCATAAATTTTGTTTATTTTTTAAAAAGTATGAGCTTACCACATTTACTACAGTAGCCATCTATTGCCAGTAGATTAGCAAAGCTACAAGGTAACTCGGTAACTTGTTCCAGTGATATTACATAGAGGGCGTAGCTTGATAGTTTTTTACGTTGTCTGGTAGAGAGCGGTAAATCACCTCTTTTCGATAATTATTTGTATACTCTTGAAAGGAGTAATTAGGACCAATAATTTTGAAACTTTACAGTTTATTCAAAAACTTATTTTCGATATTCTTTTAAATTAGTTGTAACGTAATTGTACCTATTTGAATTTGCAATGGCTTTTGTTTTTGTTAGTTCTCTTAAAATGTTATAGCGTGATATGAACTTTAATTTAATACCGATAAGGTAAATTTTAAGAAATGAAAAAAGAACAGCTTAGTACTCTTAATTCTTCTTTATTTTATCTTATACCTTTTATGTTAATGTATTGTATTTATTTAAACAGACACATACCACCTAGCTGAAAACGAATTAGTATTGGAATGTCGAATTCGCGGTCAACCTCTACCTACAATCACTTGGCTGAAGGATGATAAACCAGTGTCCAATAACGAGAGATACCAAGCTTACTACTTAGCTGATGGAGTCTGCAGATTGGCCATCAGCTCACCAACACCAGAAGACAGTGGAAAGTACACCTGCAAAGCTGAGAATTCAGTTTGGAGCGATCAAATAACTCATGTTGTAAACTTTACCGGTGAGTCAATTGTTGCATTCTCTTTTTGTCAATCAAGCTCCCCTCTTTCAACGGCTAATGGCGGGAGCTCTGTCTAGGACGGCCAGGGTGCTTTCGATGCCCCAGACCCGCAAAACCCTTTACCGCCTAGTGTAGCGGGAAACGCGGCCCTTGCAACACGTGTGCTGAGCGCATCTCAAAATATTTTATTACGTTCGCATTCAATCATTCATTTAAAACTTAAAAGAAGCTTTAAAATGTCAGTTAAAAGGTAATTTTATCGTTTTTATTATTTTATTCGTAGTTAATGAAATAATTTTAGTAAGTATGCAATCTGATGTGAATGTTACCCTTGATATTATTTGAGTTTTGATGAACGACGCTTCATTGCCAAGGTCACTATGAAACGAGGGTTTTCTGTACCTCCTTAACTAAAGTTATAATAATACATTATTTTCTTTTTAAATTGTGTACTTTAACATTTCAATTAAATTTATTTATAAGATTTTTAATACTTTTGTTTGTTTTCAGGAAAGGAAAGCCGTTTGAGTCCAAACATAGCCACAATCGAACGCTCTCGCTTCAACCGCCAAGCGATGGAATCCCGTCGTCCTCACTTTACCAACGTACTCTCCGACTACAAGGTGGCGAAAGGCGGTACTATAGGGCTCCAAGTAGAGATCAGAGGCTGTCCTACCAGGGTAGAATGGCTTCGAGAAGGTCGTTCTGTCACTGAAGTGTACAGAAATGCAAGAACATTTGTTGAACAAGGCTTGTATACATTAGCGTTGTCTGATGTAACGGAAAAGGAATCGGGAATGTACACCTGCAGGGCTTGGAGTACTCATGGCAATGTGGACATGAATGCTGCAATCACTGTAGTGGCGAATGAAGTTGAAGGCAAGCCTGCCATTATTGCTGGAAGACCAGACAAGGATATTCTCATTTCTGTTGGTGAAGACATTAACATTTCCTTCAGAGTCCAGGGCGAACCGAAGCCTAAAGGTAAAATTATTTTAATTAAGTACCTTGAACTTCTTGACGTTAGCGTCTTTAGCAGTTTGAAACATAGGCTTTTATTCCGATTAAAATTCATTTTTACCGACTTCATTGTAAATGACATTGATGGACATTTACAGGTTTATTTCAACAAAAACTATTATTAGGTGACGTAAGAATTACCGCAAGCATACCAAACAAACTTCATAGCGCAGAATTAAATTATTTTTTACTTTAAAACGCGCCCTAAAACAATTAACTAAAGTAGACTGAATCATAATAATAACCATCTCGGACAAATCCGGACATGAGTACATCAAGGTGGTTTAAATATGTTTTGTACAATTTCAACTTTATGACTAATAAATAAGGTTAAAGACAGTTTGAGGTTGTTTGATGTCTGTAATAGACATGCAGACAGATTCAATATTAGGGTTCTGTCGTCACCCCTCAGGTAGGGGACTCGTAATACCAGACTACGCCATACCTATACTACTTATACAGACAAACTGGCGAAAAGCAAACCTGTGTCTTTTGAGAGAAGGTTAATATTTCATTGATAGTGATTTTGTTTTGTAAAGAGTGTTGTGAATTTATTTGATGTTTGATTTTTTGAAATTGAAAATAACATAAATTGTCTATGATACTTTCTTTAGTTGTTAGGCTTGATTCGTTAAGTCCTAACGCACACACGACTATACTTATTTGGAAACCATTGAAACTACTGAAAAATATGAACACAAATACTGCTGTAGAACCAGCGGTGACTTCGATTCCCGCTTGGAATCATTTCCTAACTTTTTGAGTAGTTAAGCTACAAATGGTTCTTTCAGGCCGCGGTTTCATATGTATGTGAAATTGTATGTTCATAAAAGCACCCACAACATTACCTTACAAAAAAGAATATGTGGGAAGATTATAACACATAATTACCTAAAGCGTATCGCATGATAATCTAATATTATATTGCTTGATGTAAGCCGTGTGAACTTAAAAATATCCCATTTTAATATAGGGAGAGATATATAGAGGTACATTGCATACCACGTTTCAGTACTCCGAGATCTGGAAAATATGGAAATCGTCAAAATTACCTTAAATGACCTAGGAATCGGCCGACCGAATTTATCGAACAAAAAAGTAGTAGAATAGGTACCTAATACAATATCAGTGTCATGTCCTGTCCATTGTCCTTGGGCTCTGTAGTTCGACTTACATACATATTCATTATCCAAAGTGTGCCGACGCATTAGGTTTTAAAACAAATATTTCTCCCTTTTCCCTTAAAACCTAATAAATATAGAACCAAATTACATACGCGATGCCACGTTTATTTGAAAAAAAAGCGTGATGAGTCATGATTATAAAGTCATTGTAAGGACAACGGATGGAACAGCCGCGGTTTTCATTCCCGTACGGGACCACGGTTCCTAACCACAAACGTAACAATGATTTTTAAAAATTATTAGCACACAACAATGAATAAAGCTTAAATAGAGATTTAATGTTTACTTTGCACAATATACCAAAGAAAAACAGTTGACACCCATTTTTGTAGGCAGATGGTTACACCGTTTTTTTATTTTTATCCAATGATATATCTTTATTAGATAGATACCAAATTCGTTTTTTCCCCTACAGATCTTTGTGACGCATAGAACTTTAGGTACTGTTTGTCGGAGAGCCAAAGTCAACTCAGTTTAAAAAAAAATTGTACCTACTTATAAAAAAAATCAACCCCTATTTACATAACTTTACAGTGGTCTTCATGAAAGGCATACGAGACATCACTACGAGCCAGCGAGTTTGCAAGATGACCTCAGATGACTACGTAAAGTTTACGCTGAAGAGATCTGTGGTGTCGGACGCTGGTACCTACTGCATACTAGCGAGGAACGCGTATGGCTGCGACCGGGCTTTTGTTACAGTAGTGGTAAGAAAATTGCACGATTTGATTCCGCCATCCCAATTTCACCTTCGGACATCCCGGCGTACGGTGAATATCCACCCCTACGTTGTTGAGACACCTGCGGCCCTGACTAACCGTTTTGCCTCGTCATTTATACCGCGTACATCGAGGGATTGGAACAGTTTGCCGGCTGCAGTCTTTCCGTCCGAATACAATTTAGGTGTCTTCAAGGCTAGAGTGAATAGGCTCTTAATAAACTAGTGCGCCTTACCATCAACGATTGCATCACTGCTTACCATCAGGTGGGATCGCAGTTAAGCACTAGTTTATTGCAAGTAAAAAAAAACTACAATACGAACATATACGTAAGATATACAAATGTTTGATATGGCAAACTATAGAGTAAAAGTCATCTAGTACTATAATTAAGTAATGGTACTTCACTTCCTTAGCTCGCGTCATACATTTACACAGAAAACTAATGATTACTTAAATTACAGCTTAGTCTTCGTCAGTCGTAGTTTTCGATAAAGATAGCAATGCTTAGCAACAATTTCATTATAGTATGTATCTTAGCCTCTTTTAAGAACAATGGGTGTAGATAATACTTGTACAAATAAGTTTGTAAATGCTGGAAGATCAATTCCAACCTCCTTAAAACCCAATAGGCTGGCAACCCCTCTGTTCTAACTCACTGGTGCCCATGGATGGAGCAGAATGCTAATCATTAGGTGATCCGCTTGCTAGTTTACAGCCCTATTCCATAAAAACCCCTTCCCCTTAAAAACTCCCATCTTATTTTTCGACAGTCGACATATTTAAATTTTCAGAAAAATAGCTTAAGTATATATTTTTTAAAGGTGAGACAACGAGCCTCTTCGGACAACTTAATATCAGACTGGACGTATCCCATGGATGATTCAGCCGTATCAGTCGCTGAGAGGAAGTATAAATGTAAGTATTATTAGCTGAACTCCAACACCTCGGTAGGGATTTGTTCGGTTGAGCAGAACACAGCCTTAGCGTACTTCACTCCGAGTAGTCCTACCCAACCTTTTTATGAAATTTGCTTTCACACTACAGTAACTATTGAAAATAAAATGGCTTTAATTAATAATATCAAAAGTCAAAAAGTCAAAAATCATTTATTCCAATTAGACCATTACAGGCACTTTTGAACGTCAAACAAAATTTTGAAGATATAGTGTTAGCCTGTCGGTCAGTCCTCTTAGTGAAGCTATTTGCTCGTTCCAAAGTGTAGATTCCGATGGAGAAGAACGAGCAAGAAACTCCATGGTTACTCTTTTTAAATCAGTTTCATATACAGATTCCTTTTACAAAGAGTTATTTCAATTATGTGAAAACAGTGTAACACTAATATTTATTCAAATATAAAAAGAAAGTAACCTTAAGGACAATAGACAGTCTGGAGCTGACCAGTCTCAACCGACGGCGCCCGAATGGAATAGAATTTCGTTTTAAAAGGGTTCGACTCCTTAATAAAGTCCAGCTTAATAAAGTCAGTTACCCAGAAAGGTACTAGCAAATTGAATATCTTCGAATTTCGTCAAAATTAAAATAGCTTGTATGTCGGTCTTGGCTTAGAGTTACCACGGGACCAGCCTGAAAATTATCCTATCTTTTTTTAATGATCCTACATAGATAGGATGCCTGATAATTAATTATCCTATCTGTTTTAGGCGATTGTATTGAAATGTAACGGCATTCAGTGCACGATACCAGAACAAAGCATTTTGGCATTGTTCTCTAATTGCTCGATCGTTTCAAGTATTAATAAAATGCCATTTAGAAATAAACGATAGGTTATGAGCCTTCAGAAGATGTTTTAATAATAATTATCAGGCAAAAACTGATACGCTTGTGATGTAACGATTGCCACAGTGTTATGTAATAAAGACGTATCGAACGGGCAGCAACTGACACGTCAGTCATCAAACAAACATTGATGCGATGACGGCAGTTGTAGGCACTCAGCAACAAATCATTAGATCATACCTACTACTTATAATTAGCCTAACCTGCCAATTCTAGCTCGATCAATTTCAAATCAATACAATAAGTCATCTGGCAGTGTCGGCTGGCATCACGTCAAGTATTCTTTAAGGTCAGTGCCGCATCGGTTCTCATTTTAGCCGTGCCGGACCGCATCCCGGGTGAGCCGAGCGTCGTGGACGGAGGCAACAACTGGGTTTCTCTCGCCTGGCCAAAAGCAGACCCTCGCGACACCGCTCCAGTCCTCGCTTACAAAATAGAGAGCTGGCTTCTGGGAAAGGAGGGCGGCGCTCGCTGGGTTGAACTCGGAATCACACCTCTAAACTCTTTCGATGCCTTCAACTTGAAACAAGGAGAGGAATATCACTTCCGAGTGACTCCTAGAAACAGATACGGGTGGGGAGAAGCTGTACAGACATCCTCTCCGGTCGGCATCGGCTTGGCTGGTGACAGGCCGGAGTTTGTGGACATTTTGCCCGGTCAACTGAAGGTGTTAGCTGGCGAGACGGCGAACTTAAGCTGCAGTGTGAAGGGCAAGCCTTTGCCTGAAATAGTTTGGATGAAGAATGGGCACGAGATCGAGGAAGAGAGCCGGGTGACGACGTTGTACAACGGTCAAGATTGTTCATTGACCATCAAGGATATTTGCATCGAGGATGAGGCGCGGTACAGCTGCGAGGCATCCAACGTCCACGGCAGGGCCTCCACATACGCGAGGCTGGCCGTCGTCACCGACAGACTGATATGGGAAGCCGATGCTAAGCTAAAGAGGTGAGATGTTTATACGCAGATACTTTATAAATACATTTGTTTACTAATTAAACTTCCTTCTTGCGCTTGCGAATAATTTCTGCTTTGTTTGTTACTCAAATTTGTGTGTTGAAACTTTTTATTGCGTTCTTCTTCAAGGTAAAAATAATAAACTTATTTAGGTAAATAGAACTTTGCTTTTCATAGTGCGGGCATTTAATAAATTTAGGAGTTTTGTATTGTTGAATATATTATGAATTAAAAACTTTAAATGATTTGAGTATCTTGTGTAGTGATTAGTTAACATTTATGATTTGGTCCAAAACAACAATTTAGGAATTTTTTGGAAAATATCTACGTGGCTGTCTAAAATATACTGTATGCAAATATTCATAATAATTGAAAATTTAGTAAATACTTTGCTTAATAAACCTTTTTTTATATAATATCGAAATGCGAGTCCCAATGTAAACGCACAAAACAAAGTAAAGTAAACAAAAGAAAACTTTTTTATTGAATTAATTTATTGATTGATACATACCGGCTCCATCTAGTTTTTTACATATAATAATTTTGACGTGTAAAAGTGCCGTTTATGACCTATTTACAAAAAAAATCATTGTTTCATATTTACTTATTCAGAGAATAAGTAATAAGTTTTTAGAGAATATTTAGTTAAATACCGTTTACGCTTTCACTAACACTTGAATTCCGGGGTATGAATCAACATCTTGATTATATAAGTACTTTTTACGTGTTATTGTAATATAACCAGCCATATTGGCTATGATTTTCACGCGTCTTTGTGTTTCTGTAACAATCGTTAGTTGAGCTAGGTAGTTATTAACTGACACATAATTTTAATATGCCTACATAACCGATTCCCTCAAGCCGATGTGGTTCTTTCCTCAACAAAAGATACTACTAGCTAATCAATAGATTACTTACTACACAATGAACTTGCACGGTTTTCACACATCGTTTTATATTTGTCTGTGATGAAATGAGATTTATGCACCTTGATTTGGTGACCTCCATTTTCACGTTTTGTTTTTTTTAGATATTGAGTGTGTACGGACCTTTTCTTTTCTGTAGCCAGGCCAAAGCCTGGTAACCTTACTAGTAAAAACGGGATAATCTTACATCAGACTATACTTATTACAGATTTCATGTTATTGGAAATATCAACAATCTCAATTTTTAACTCCTTTCTCTTGGTAGTCGCAAATACGACCATTTCAACTTCAATATAAAAAAAAATATTTCAAGTAATATTCAAATACCATGGCATCCTTTCAGCGTCAAAGTTGTACTACCCAACATCAAAGTTTCAAATTTAGATTAGTAAGGTTTGGACCAAGCAATAATCTGTTGTTCGTTCAAATCAACATAATATATATTAATGCAAACCCAAACTACTTAGGGTAAACCTGGCAAATGTGCCCCACAATTCGAAAAATTGAAATAAAAAACGGTGCTATTTAAAACATGTTTAATAAAGTAACTAGTCTTAATCTCTGACTCAATAGGTATAAGAAAAACAAAGAAAAAACGTTTCAAAAGTAATTAAAATAGCCGTGATCAATGATTTCTTAAAGTCTATGGTGGGGCACATTACACGGATATATCAGTCATATGTGCCCCAATAAATTTTATAGGAAAATCCGAAGGATGTCCTAATTATCCTACAAATATTAAACAAAGCTTTATGTAATAAGTTAATAACACATACCTAAACGATTTCCAGGGAACGGTCCCAAGATGCGGAGGGTGACTATCCACCGCAGTTCACAATGCGGCTGCGAGACCGACGGGTCCAAGCGACCTACCCAGTCCGGTTGACCTGCCAGGTCGTCGGCAACCCTCCACCGACCCTCACATGGTTCAAAGATGGAGAGCTCCTTGTGTTTGACAGTAAGTAGCGTCTTAATAATTCGTATAATAATCACCGAAACGATAGATATGACGTAGCCTTTCTTTATAAACAATTTTATATCATGCATCTTTGATCGTCGTCATGGTGGCCTGGAAGGTAAGTGGCCCACTTCTCATGCATGAGGGGTTCGACTTTGACAATCGGTATCTAAAGTATGACTTCGTGAGACTTTAATTTCTTTAATTTAAAGTTTGAAATCGCCTATCCGCCTTGAGCAAGCATCGTGAATCGTGAATACAGGCTAACACACGGCCAATGTAGTGATGAGTTTTGGTCTTCAATTAAAAATAACTACTAAAAGAGTCAATAACATTGAAAGAGAGAATAATAAAATTAGAGAGACGACTCAAAATAATACGTTATGATACCAGAAAATCATTATTATATGGTGTTTAATAACGTATTCGAATCCTAGATCAAACACTCTAAAGGGCGTTTGAAGTTTCGCAGTGGTACCTTACAGTTGATTCCTAAATCTAAGAACTGTTAAAATTAATTGAATATTATATAACTTAATAACCCAATGAAAACAAGCTTAGGATCCGATCTGAATCGCACAGGGCGACGCTGTGGTAATTTAAATCCTCATACCACATTATCCGAGAATCCAAGTGGTTGGCACGCCGACAAACCCCGCCCTACATAAATTCCCCAACTGAAACTTGAAAATATAAAAAAGCATGTATTTATAGAAAGTTCGAAGCGCACCTAAACCCAAAGAGGCAGTATTACCTACTAGCTTAAAGAACCTCAAGAAAACAATAACATCTTGTAATTATGAATTCTTTGTCAACTGAAAACGGTTATTCCTTGTCCTGAATCGTCATAATTTCAATCCTCATTCCACACAATTTTCAGAGAGCGTGACCGGTTGGCACGGCCTGAAACCCCGCCCTCACATCCGTTTTTCAGAGAGGCAGCGAGAATTCCCAACGTTTCACTTTCACGTCTTTTGTCTCATTCCTGAAACCATTTGGGGCGGGCCCAAAAAGATATATTTCTTGAACTGTATTAGGGTTTTGAATTTGCATTTGTTTTTCGTGTAATTGTGTGATAAATTAAATCATTTTACAGGGCTATCAAATTTAGTAAAATATAGATATATTTACATTATCACATCATTACGTCATCTGGATTTATAAGGGCCCACAGCTAAGCAAAGACCTTTTCTCACAAAGAGAAATATATTTGACTGTATAAACGCATAATTTTTTGGGATCTTGGTTAGCTCGTAACTAGCTAATGTATATGACCTAATGCTTATAACCAATACTTTAAACCACTTGTATACATAAGCTGTGAGCGTACTTTATAATAAATAAATAAATAAGAGAAGGTTTGAGCACTAAATACTACGCTTGTTCAAGGCGAATTAGCGATTTCAAACTTATTCATTAGAAATTATAAGTCCAGGTTTCCTTGCGATGTTTTCCTTTACCCTTCTTCAATAATCATAGAATGTACATATAATTCGGCAAAAGTCACATCGGTAGGTACTTGTCAGGCTTCAAACCCTCATGCATGAGAAACGATCGCCTTAACCTCCGGGCCACCACGACGTTACTAAAATATTAAAAGTCAAAATCATTTTCTATCTATTTGCAACTAAAACATTAAATAATTAAATTATTATTTATTGCTAGTTTGTAAATCTGTATTGACAACATTTTATTTTCGCCTTTTTCCAAAAAGATGGCATATAGTCCGGTACTAATAATCCGTCGTAGTGACACATAACACTCATTGTAACTTACAATGGAGTGGTATATATAGTCACTAACGATGCGAAAAGGTCAAAAAACTGTTAACAAGTTCATTCGTGACAAGCTACATTACCAAACCATATTTTCCAACAACGCCACAACAATACAAATGTATACCACACAACTTAAAATTCTTCTCTTCTCGAAACTTTCAAGGTCGGCGCACAAATTACCAGGACGAGCACTTCCACACATTGGAGATAGCCCCCACCACGCTTGAGGATGGAGGGGTTTACGAAGCCATGGCAAGGAACAGCTCTGGAGCAGTCAGTTGTCGATGCAGTCTTGTTGTGGACAAAGGCATCAGGGCATACGTTGCTCCCGAGTTCTGCTGCGGTCTCGAACCTTTGTACAGGCTATCTGAAGGTATGTTGTTTTATTTGAATGCATGTCTTTATGATTTTGCTACCACATAAACTCAATTTAAGTAATACCTAGGAACAGCAAATTGTATTAACACAAAATTATTGACCTTTGCGAAGCAGCTAAGTTGACAAATTAATCACAAGGTCTTAGTTGAATAAGTCTATTTTTTACAAGTCTTTACAAGATCCATCTCTAAGCTAAAAAACACTGAATCTCCTAGTGCCTAAATACTCGTGTATTTTGAAATAAAGTACTTTTCTTTGATTTTTTTTTGCATTTCGATTTCAGGTGAAGAGCTCAGAATCTCAGCAGTTGTGGAAGCTTACCCATCAGTTGGAGTGACCTGGTACCGCGATGGCGTTCGCTTACGACCCAGTCGACGCGCCATCATGACGCTAGATCGAGATGGCCAAATAGAACTGGCTTTAGCAGCAGTTACTGGGAGAGATGCTGGAGTGTACACCTGCACAGCTTCTAATGAAGTAGGACGAGCGTCCACGTCAGGGAAGGTTGAAGTGATTGAGGGAGATCAGCCTAGAGAGAAGCGGACACCACCGGTTGTGATTAACGCTCCTGATGAACCGTAAGTTCAATATCATTAAAGGAGTTCTGCCAGAACGATAATTTTTAAATTAGAGACAGAATTGATGGATATAGGCAATAAACTTTGAACCATTAGGTACTGGTAAGTAGTAATTTCTGCAATGATACAAACATGAGTGACTGCGAATTTACTAGATCCCTGAAAGAAATTTCACACGTTCCTCAAATTTACCACTTAACAGCATGTAAAAGGTTATTTTTGATGTATTTACAAAGATAGTAATTAGCGGTTTTCTAAACCACTAATTACTTAACATAAGTATATAAGTCTCAAATTAATTATTTAAAATTTGATTACGATTTCAATGAGTATTTCTTTTTATAATTCGTAGTTACGTGTTATTTAAATGATACAAACAATTAGTGCACAATAAAAGTACATTGTTACTGCGAGGTAGTGATTAATCTGCTTTCTAAACTATATTTTAATGTGTAATAGGTATTCGAAGGAGCCAATGTTCATTCGAAAGCCGCGGTCTAGTGAGGCCCGGGAAGGAGACACTGTAATCATAGCTTGCGAAGTCATCGGAGACCCCAAGCCTGACGTCTACTGGCTGAGAGACTTCCTGAAGGTATACAGAAAATTTACTTATTGTATAATAAACTGTAGGTATAAACTTCACTTTGGCGAAATATGAATAGGCACACATAGATTATCGGTAGATACAAATCTAATTATGTTGAGTCTTGTTATTGGGAACCAAATAAGAATGACGATTTATATTAAAAATATGTCTTTTATCAATTCGGGATAGTTTGATCCTAACTTTAAGACCAATGAACACCTAATACATTTTGTTCTGGGTTGTATTGCCGGTGAGACAAATTAACCTGAACTTACCCGGTATCTAAAAATAACGATAAATACCCTCATTACCCACATTTCATAATAGTTTAGAATTTTTATTAGCCATTCAAGTCATTCAAATCCAAGTGTTTACAAATTGAACCTACCTGCCTATTATAGAAATATTCAGTGTACATAAATAGTTGGTATTTATCTATTGAGGTTATACCACCTGTGACTTACCTATATTAAAATTATAGACAGTAGGTTTTCTATCAATGAAGGCACCAGATAAAGCCATTAGTATAAGTAATCCATCAGCAAATAATTGCTTCTCTCTTTATTTATTCATTTTTACTAGCAAATTCATAGATATACATTCCTTTTTAGTACCACTCAATGCTAGATTATTTTTTACATACAATTTTAATATATTTCAACACTAAAAGGTCTTAGTTTTATCAAAATAACAAATTTTTCAAATTTAGCTCCAAACTATGAGTTATTATAAGATGTCGCTATACCGCCATGACACGTTTTTAGCGCAGACGTGGCGACATCTATGTGATAGGTCTTGAATTAAGAATTGCATACGTGGCTAGTCATTGCATGCAACTGCTAACAGATGGTGCTGCAAGTCTCAAAATTATTTTTAGACTCAGCGAGATAGAAGCAGTTTTAATAAAGGGGATTTATTTGAAGTGAAGTTTCTGAATACGCTTTTCTCGAAAGATATGCGTTTTCTTATTTTTTTTTGTTTTTATAGCTAACTTTATAAATAAAAATAGTTCAATAAAACACAGGTACCTATATCGTTCGAAACATACTTAAACAAACACATTTAGATCGTTTGAGAAATACCTACCTAGAGGCATTTTAGTAGGTACAATAATTACTGAAACAAAAAAAAGCGAAAGCAATTCTTTCGATCAAACTTTTCAATAAATTCACTTGAGTATATGTTTTTTTAACAATTTCTAATATATCCATCTCTTTCTAACCCAACAATATCATTTTCCGCAGCCGGATTATTACCGCGACGCGACCCATTTCAAGAGAGTCGGCGATGGTCCAGAGTACCGGTTTGAAATACCACACGCCAAGCTGGATTACACCGGAGCCTACTCTGTAGTCGCCAAGAACGTGCATGGAGAAGCTAAAGCGATCATCTCCTTGCAGATATTGGCTAAAGGTACTTACATAAAATATACCTTGATTGTAAAGGTTTTTGTTACAGATATTCTGCGTAGGAAATCAAATCAAATTTGCACTTATAGTGTCTTGCCCATGCATAAATACCCGCAGAACGAATGGAGTACTTATACCAAATCTTATGCCGATTCTGGGACTTATCTGACGGTGATAATTACGTAAGGTAGTAAGGTAGTGAAAAATAGACGGACGCCACGGTGCAGACGGATTACCTGATGGTAAGCATTTAGCGCCTCCCATGGACACCGCAATAACGAAACAGTCCTTTTTTATTTTACACTAGAAAAATCGCACCGCACTAAGATTTTATCCGTGCCTTGATACCTACATCACACCCAGGCCCGGAATAACAATATGTGGATCACAAAGAGTTGTTCCGGGCGGGAATCGAACCCGCGACATATTGCCCAGCCACCGCGACAACCATGTAGTCATATACAGTTACGAGTACACTGCCGACCTTTAGGAGATAAGGGTTTTAGATAGTTAGGGACTGTAGATGGATTGGGGGAGGGAAGGATTCGGCCAGACTACTATTTTGGTTTTTGTAGAGTTACTACCTACAGGAAAGCAGTATGGCATTCGTTGCTTGCTCAGATATGCGTCGATAGTTCATTAATGTATTTTACACGCACCATTCAATTGGTCAATGATTATGTCATACGGTTTATGTTATTTATGTACTAGGTACTATTACCTACATTGTTATGTACTAAATGAGTAATATCTATAAGCCCTACGTCATTGTTAATTGCTCACTGCTATTAATAGTGAGTGTCAAAAGTCGAAAACGAAACGAAAACGAAAAAAAAACAAAACAAGCGTTATTTCACGGTTCTTTGTTTTTCAACACACTTTATAAACCTATTGTTATCATTAACCTAAGCTTTTTGACATTTCTTGTGTTTGCTCAAACCTTTTTTGTTTTTTTCCACAACCATTTTCCATTTATAAGTTGGTTCAAATTTGGCCCTTGTGTGCTGTGTTCTAGGCCTATCCCTACCTCTTTCACACTATTGTCTTTTACATTCGTGAGCGAAAGAGACGAATGAAACATTGACTCAAAGGCATAGCAGTCAAATAATCTCAACTCGTTAAGTTGGAATGATTATAACTTCTTTTTTAAGTATATTTTTTTTTATATTACTTAGGTAAACTGTTGTTCTAATGATTGAACGTGTAACTGCACACTACATTATTCGAACTTAAGTAATGTAAAATATAAGACATTGCGATTCTTTGTTGTTTGGACTTGCGACCGGTGTTTGGCGATAGGTGGGGGGAGGGGGGTAGTAGGTAGCGTAAATGGGTGTGCTGTATTTTAGGCGCAGCCCCTCAACCTAATGTGGTTACTTCCCACTTAAGCAGGCATCTTGCATTATGTGCTTATTAAGTATATGATAAATATTTTTGAGATTTTCACAACGCTATTGTAATCCATCAATCGTTCTTGCAAAGATCTTGTGATTTCTGCGCAGATAAGAATGAATATCTTTATGCCTTTTGAAAATGAAAATAACAGTATTGATTAAAACCTCATTCCACATTTAGTGAGTTGAGACATTGCTTGGAAATATATATATGTATATATCTATTAAATATTTGTAGTTTCTCGTTACACAACTACATCCCTTGTTTCCGGCGCGAAAGCTCCCAGCTCCCAGCGACCTAGATATAATTAAAAGGGGTCAAAATTGACGTCAATGGTGACCCGTGTCACTAGGGTGGGACCCCCTACCGCCTGTCCCAGTTACCACCGTTTACAAGAGGATTTAACGAAGAGTCCTGGAAATATTCCCTCACCCTTACATACCGAAGGTCGTTGGGAACTGGGGTGCCCCCTTCCCGGGTATTATACCCCGAATGGCCACGCCCTATGTCCCGAATTCAGCTCAGTAATGTCACCCTTGACATGGTTCGCGGGCCCTGTAAACTGAGGCCCTGTAAGCTTGGATTAAATTGGATGTATATTATGTACTGAGAGTAGCATTAGCATTAGCATTTAATAGGTTTAGCAAAGTTTATCATTCCTTATTACATTACTGGCTTTATTTATTGGCTTTATTTTTTATCTCTTGCATTATAGTGTTTGTATTGTGTCCTTTATTATTTATACATAGGAATCATTATATGAATGAAATATGGGTGTCACCTACCTACATGTAAACTTATTATACGATACGATATTACGCTATGATACGATGAGAGATGCACATATGTATGTATATGCACATCGTATCATTCTGAATCACAGTACAATAACATAGTACAAAGACAGACAAAAACAGTGCTACATTTTTTGTCTGTCATTGTACTACGATATTCCTTTGTTATTTTAAAGTAAGTAGTTTGACGGGGCGAAACAGGGCGAAACTAGGTCTACCTCTATATATAATACTATGGAGCCTGCTTATTATTCGGTACATTTTTGTTACATATTGGTGAGTTTCTTCCGGCGGTAATACCTTTCTGTAGACATCACGTACACCTCGAAAGAACAAAAGACACAGCAATACAAAGTAAACTATCCCTTTCTCTCGCAGCTCTCCCGCTCTCACAAACGATAGCAAACATCGCCTAACGGCATGTGAAGCTCGTCAACGCGTGAAATCGCAGCGCGGGAACCAATCCGCCAACCCATTGCGGTGATGCTTAGATTAATCGATTCGCAGTAAAACCGGCTCCACCTCTTAATATTGTTATTCCACCAATCAGAGTTGCAGCATATTTGAGGAATCATTGTTCTATACACTTGATCTTCAAATGCATTGTTGTCATTGGTCAAGAACTATAGTTACTTAGTTTGGACTTTTAAGACATGTCTGGGAGAGATTTAGCCTAATATAGGTATCACGGTTGGGGCAGTGACTGGCTGACTACGTTAATTTCGGAGATAAGTGCGTCCAATGAAACATAATCTTCTGTTTAAAAATTGTATATTTAAAAGTAATAGTATGTAATAGATATACATAGAGATAATTCGAGACTTGAAGTAGTAGTCTCCCAATCTCACATCCCCCTGTACTTGCAACCATATGACCAACGAAGCAATCACTTGCTTATACGTACACATATGTAGGTATAGCTACTATCAACATTCGTCGAGTGTTTTTTTGTATGTACTATGTCGACGAACGGAGAGGAGATTGTAAGCAATTAGCGCTGCCCATAGCCACGAGCACCATCGAGGAGCTACAAGTGTGTGGCCAGGTTAGACTGATATTATAGGTAGGGGTGGGATGGGGCATCCAGTCACACCAACCTTAGTCACACTGTGAAACACAACGCTAGCGTTGTTTCCCCCCAGTTGTCTGTGAAGCCTAGTTATCTATAATTCCAGTTGATTCAGCCCACTCGTGCCGAGCATGACTCTCCCAAACTTAAAGAAGTTTCATTTAAAAGTGTTCTAAATCAAAATTTATATTTTGGTCCATTTATTTGGGCAGATGCTAATAATTTCGATACGTATTTTTAAATTAAGAACGTCGTTTAAAATCCGTTTAAATATAAGTTAATTGCTTAACATCAATTTAGGTAGATATCAAATTGTAGACATTTTTAGACAACTTTTTGATAAAAACGCATGCCAGAACTGTTTCCATTAAGTTAACCACTTAAATAAGGAATGGACCATAATTTTTATTTTATTTTTTTACTTTCAGATCCTACGTCTTCCGATGATTCCCACAATGTGAGATATGGGTAAGTTCCATTCTTTGTCTTTCTTCATTATTTTTAACATAGTCAAGGCCAAAAAGTATTATTCGTACTGAAACTATTTCAAACTAGAACTTTTATCACAATTCGTTATTGTTTTGTTTGTGTGTCTCAAACACAATGAAATTCAAATTACCTGCAGTAAGTAAGTAGCTTAATTAAAACTACTTATAGGTCGAATAAGTAGGGATACGGAGAAAGGACAGGCATATAATCGTAATGCTAACACGGTAGGAAAATAATTAATAATGTTGTCACTCAAACGGCGAACCACAACGCTATGGTTATATCACGCCGGTTTTCTGTGTGGCCGTGGTATCACTCCGGCCGAGCCGACCCATTCGTGCCGAAGCATGGCTCTCCCAAGTCAGCTAAATAAAAAAAAAAAAATTACGACACGTATTTTTTTTTTCTATCTATACGACATTTTTTTAGATTACAATTCGACGCTGTCCGAATTTAAGTTTAGGAAGAAGAATTTGTTAGTCACAGCTAAGTATAAAATATCACACTATATTTAAAATTAATATATCGCAGAACTGATAGTGACAAAATAATAACAACTTAAGTGTCGAATGTCTTTAATGAATCTAAAAAAGGGCTTTGCACAAAAACTCGTCACGATCCATTATTATTATGTTTTTTTTTTATTACAGTCGCGTGGATGTCATACCTCGCTTCGAGAGGGAGCTGACAGACTTGCTGTCGTACGATGGTGATGCAGTGGAATTCGAGTGCCATGTCTCTGGCAACCCCGAACCAGACATCAGGTGGTTCCATTACAATGAGGTGAGTTTACATAATACTTTGCTGAGTTGTAAAAGTGATTGAAAGGGGATTAGAACTGTACTATTTACACCAACACCTTTCCAGAGTATATTTACAGAATTTATTACTGTAATAAAGGTATTTGCAAAAATCCGGCTCATTTTTTTAATAGCTAGGGTTGCGGACTAAGCTCAAAAAGGTACCGCAGCCGCTTCCTATAACAGAAGAAGCTAAAGGGGTGTTTTAGTCAGTAAGAGTGCGACACTTCCCCTCGCTTCACCATGGGTTAGAGAAGCCATTTGATGATCTACCCTTTTTGATGATCACAAAAAAAGCTTTATTTGTTATGCCTGTGTGCGTTAGGTTTGAATTGGCTAAAAAGACTGGACTACAAACAAAAGCCTTGGTTGGAAATTGTACCATATTTTGAACAACAAATCTAAAAACTGACAAAGGGTAGTAACGAGGTTCTGTCAAAAATTTGAATCGATTTCCAGATTTGGTTTACATTTGGATTGGGAACTTGTTAATAATTGTGGTCGTAATTGTATATCTCATTTATTATGTAAGACGACAGTTTCTGCTTCCTATTATCTGTATCTCTCTGCTATGCATAACCTAGTTTATCGAGTTAAGTCCGATTGCTTGGTTAAGCAACAAGTCTCTCACCGAAACATGTGAAAAAACCTATCGATTATTAGTACTCTTTCGTTCTAGTTAGTAAGATCTATTTCTGTCGATAATTTTCTGACCTTATTTATATCTATGTATAAGTGAGTGAGAGTCATATAATACATATAATACCAAGGCCTCACATAAAACTGGTGTGAAACAAACACAGTATTTTGTTTCGCCTTGTCAGTGAGATTACCGAAGGCCCAATCCCCCCATCGCCGCCCTATTACCAATTGGCAACACCCTCGTAACTTCTTTGGTGTTGCGTGTGTCCATGGGCGGTGCTGATTGCTTACCATCAGGTTATCCGTCTGCTCGAATACCAACCTACTCCATAAAAAACCTATTTCATTTATCCTCTCGTGTGAATTCATTGTGATTCAGTAGTAGATATTATAAAAGCTTTAGTCCTAGTAACAAGGTTTCGTTTAAATAATTTCAGTTGATTCGTGACTGTCCGGACTTCGAATCCACATTTGAGGATGGTGCAGCTCGGCTGAAGATCAAGCAAGTTACTGCTGAGGATGAGGGCACTTACTCCTGCGAGGCTGCCAACAACCTCGGCAAGGCAACGTCCAGCGCTTGCCTCGTCGTTTACCGTAAGTTCCTACTTTATGCAGATACTTATTCTTTAGCTCCGTTGCCTGAATTCGGTCTTCATCTTTAATCTAAGAGAAATAATAATTTCAAATCTTCCAAGATATCTTAGGAGTTGCGTAGTTTGTCCTTCTAATTACGCTTACTGGCGTAGAATCTATTTTTAAGAACCAATTTCTATACAATTACTCACTTAATTTAGGTTATTCATATCAAAACAAATTGTGGGACTCGAACCCATGACTACATTGTATTCAAGCTTATATTCTTCATAATTATGCTTTATTTTAATTGAATTTTGGAGAATATTTTATAACAAGCTTTTGCTCGCGACTCCATTTGCGGCGAATAATGACTTCCAGCAAATTTTTAGTAGGTAAAAAACTATTCTATGGTCTTGTCAAGTTCCAAACTATGTCTGTGCCAAATTTCACAGAAATCAGTTAAGTAGTTTAGTTTAGACGTGAAGAATAGACAGACAGACAGTCAAACAGACATACAGACAAACAGACAGAATAACTTTCGCATTTATAATATTATATAGTTTGGATGATATATATTTTATAATATAAAACGGCATAAATGTTCTTTTGTTTTTATCATACTCTCTTATATTCATATTAATGATCATCTTCTACTTTTTAGAAATACGTTTTTCACTGCTTTCTTGGTGTAGGTAATCCAATCACGACCCAGCCGTATAGGTGCGATCGGCATTAGGTTTTATTTTTATTTTCGATTACGAAATTCTCGTATGTCATAAAAAAATAAGTTTTTAAGTGAGTAATACAACATTTACATAGGTTTCGATACAACAGCTGCTATGCTGGCGTTTTCTCCACTAAAATATCATATCAGACTTGTAGTATTTTGACCAAAGGTAATTTTTTAACACGTATTTGTTCTTGTACAGCTCCTGGAGAACCAAACACGCTAAGTCAGAGGCTGCGACGTCCACCAGCATTGCTGTCTGCTGCCTCCACTCCTCGCTCAACACCACGAAGTACGCCCGCCAGATCCGTCTCCAGAACACCTGGTAAGTCAGGACTTACTCCTTACAAGGAGTCTCGTATGGCGATGTGTCATATTGCCTATAGAAATGAACTTGTTGCCCTACATATTATTTCTTTATGCGAATGTATTTGCCATGCTAACCAATCTTATATAGCAGAAAAATTAACTATACTCATTTTCACCAGGCCCTGACCCCCGCCGTCTATGCAGTCCGTCCCGGCAAATGGCGCCTTCATTCTACACGTACCCCTTCAACAAAGTGGTTGAAGAAGGAGACCATGTCACTTTCAAATGTGCAGTCAAAGGCCAACCATCCCCTTGGACTACTTGGGACAAAGACGGCATCATCATAACCCCATCAGCCAGAATAACTATGAAGGAAAAGGATGATATGCTAAGAATCCTTGAGATTGAACAGGTCTCTATTGAAGATGTTGGAATTTATAGAATTACTATTGAGAATGAGTTCGGAAGGGCCGAGGCGACTGCGAGGTTGGAGGTTATAACGCAAAAGGGCAAGTTCTATGGTGGAGTGCGGGCGTACAGTGCGTCACCAAGGAAGTCCCTCTCGTATAGGAGGTACCCGTCCGTGCCTAGACAAGACTGAAGACCAAGTTCGGTATGATCATGTAAGTTTCTTGTCAAATTGTACTATCCAGTAAAATATGAGCCAAACATTTTGCTTATTTTTTTGATGTTTGTGTTTTGTAGATCAATAAACTTTCTACGTCGACAGCAATGCGAATTTGGGTACCCATTTTTATTTGTGTGCATTGCAATTTTCTCATTGCGAATTTTGTATCTTTTTCTGTTGCTTTTTATTTCTTTCTCACAATTAATATGTTATTTCAGGAAAGGAAACACCGCGTGTGAAGATATATTTATAATAAACGTAATGATTTGTTTTTTCTTTCTATTGTAATTTATTTTCTATGCATTTTACTTATTACTTTTTTTACTATTATGACTTAACTTTGTTTGAACAAAGTTAGAAATGTTAAGTTTTTTGTTTTTTTTCTGTTTGTTTATTTATAAGGTCGGGTTAAAATAATGAAAGAAGACGAACACATTTTAGTGATCACATTTTGTATTTTCATTCACATTTAGATTTTAAAGAGAAAATTTGTAAAAAAAAGCACTCATAGTGTAACAATCATCTTTATACATTATAACACTAACTATTTATATAATTATAGAACACATAAATCTACATTTTCTTTAAATACTTGCAGAGTTTACGATTAAATATATTGAATAATTATATGTCTTTGTTTCATTGTTATTTTACAATTGATTATATACATATCTACCTATTTGTTTCATTTTATATGGAATATTTTTTATCATATATATCATAAGGCACAATATTTTTATTTATCCTATATTTACACAATAAAGCTCAGAAGGTTTTCCCTCGTTTTTATTTTAAATGGAATATTTTCATTATATTATAATAAGGCAGTATAATATAATTACTTAATATTCATTTAAAAATAATTTATAGCCCTTTAGGTTTTCTCTCGCTCCATCAGTCTGTTTCTCCCTTTCTTCATAATTCCATTCGTCTTTCTCGCTTTTCATTGTCTTGAATATTGTTTTCACAATACTATCTCATCTTAATACTAGCTTATCTCTGATTTTGACGTTCTTTCACAGTATTCAGAACTCACTTCTCTTTATTGGTTTGGTCTATTGGTCTTTTGGTCTATTGGCCTTTTGGTCTATTGGTCTTTTGGTCTATTGGTCCTTTGGTCTTTTGGGCTATTGGTCTAGTGTTCTGGTCGTCTATTGTTTTCTCTTCGAGCATAATTTCATTCATAACTCTAATAGTTTGTATGTTGATCTCTTGTTTTATATGTTTCTACATTATGTAAATGTTCACTAGTGAGTTCATATATAAATAGGATCTTAATGTATACAATATTAAGGTCCTATTTTCGGAATTATCCCTTAAGGCTTTCTCCGTGTTTTTATATTCCATCCATTTCTCTGGTTCTTTTGTCTCCTCTAATATTAATTTTATATGTTGAGTTTTTATTACATGCTATATTAAATATTTGCTAATTTTAAGAAGGAAGCCCTGGAGGTTTTCTCTTATTTAAAAAAAATAAACATATCTTCCATTAGCCTTCATAATTTTTCTCTCTCCCGCATGGACCTTTCATTTTGTAATGTAAACCACCGGAGGTCCATTAAATCATAACATTTTCTTTGTTAGTGTTGTGCTGTTTCTGGTTATCTTCTCAAAGATTTAATTTGCTTTTCGGATACGTATAAATAACGTACAAAGTAGATGTTTGATTGTAAGTAGATTAGAAACGAAGTATAATGTTTAGATATTTTTTTCGTTTAAAAAGATTTTGTTCTGTTTTTGGTGTAAAGGAATTTTGATATTTTTTCAGATAGGTATCATTTCAATATGAGTTACTTAATAATAAATTGTTTATCAACATTTTTTGAGATTATTGATTTTACGTTTCATTTTCTTGTCTTTTTACACTCTTGGCGGATTAGTCGTAGTTGTTCAGGTCATTAAGCATGTGAGCTGGAACTGCGATGTCTTTCTGTTTTTGCAGGTTTGATGCGTATCGTCATCTTCTATTTGTTATTTTGTAGATTTATGTAAGTCTACTATTAAATATTCTTGAATAGGCTTGTTAGCAACTAGAAGAGTAAAGTTAATTCCAGTAGAACTATTCTTATTACATTGATAATTTCGTAATGATATTAAGATCAACATTATAAACGTCTTAATGCTGATGTTAATAGTTTTTGAAGTTGTGATAAAGCTAGCATCTCGACGATTGGTGGTGTTCCTTTCGTAGAAGCATGTACGTAGACAGGGAGGGTGCACTGGATTTATACCTGAAAATAAAAAGAAAGTAAGTACTGCAAATCAATAGAAATAAAAATTTTACCTATCCAAAAAAGTTTTAAGCTGAGCAAAGTCTTATATCATGTAATCGCTAGCATCGCTCAGCATACACCACTTAGATATAGGAACACAGAATTTAATTGTCATAGGAAAATATCAAATAATATTCTGCAATAATCTACATTATCTAAATGGTCTAATTTTAACCGATTTACGACTGAATGCTTTTCGTATTAACATTCAATTTGTAATGCACATAGCGATAATTTTGAGACGCTTAGCAACACAATTAAAAGTATTATAATAGTATTTAAAATGAAAATAAAATACCAATATCGCAATGCAAACAATAATCTTTTTCAGAAGAAAAAACATACATAGTTGACACACGATGTTGTACCGTAAATACTCTATTGAATAAAGCACAATATACCTTGTATGTAAACTCGTTTTACGATACCACATCGTGTGACAAAGGTTTTACACACAAAACATTAATCTAAATGTCGCAAGCTATTTCAAACTTTATAACCAAGTCGTAGAATTGATATTTAAACACTTACGTGAATTACCGGAGCTGGCTGGTTTCGCGAAAACAGTCGGCCGAAACGGAAGAACTGTTGGATAGAAAGTTCCTATTATAAATATATTTTACTGACGTGTGTTAAATACATTTTCGACTTTATTACAACAAAAAGAAGTTCCAAAGTTAAATAAAATCTTTCCAAATACAACTTAATTCATTTTCTAAGCTGTCGTTCGGTTGCTATTTAATTTTTAAATGGATTTTGTTTTGGGAAAGGATTATACTTAGTTATAAAGAGCAATCTACATTCTTGTTTTAACAAACTCATCATAAACAAAACACATACGGCCTTATTACAAAACAAGGTTTTACTTTAGTCTAGGACTAAACCATTGAGCCAGTTTTTGTATTTCGAATTGAAGGTAGATGACAATAAGGCTCATAATTCAAAACCCGACTCAATGTTTTAAACCTGGACTAAAGATAAATCTTGTTTTATAGTAAGGGAGTGAAGGTTTGTTAAGCTACGTACCGATCTTCTTACGCTTGGGCTCGGTTCTGACACGATATAATGGGTCCTGCACCAACAGAAAGAAATCCTTGTTATAACACATCATTATTATTTAAACACACGAAAACATTTCCCTACACGATCGCAACCGATTCATAATTATATTCGCTGCTGCAAAACATTGCTATAAGGATGCTATAGCTAACGCGCTGCAAAGTTAAAACTTTCGCGAATCACATATTTTCGCCTACATCTCTATGCATTGCCTAATGCAGCTTGGTATTACCTGAATCTTGTGAATATTTTTGTAACCGCGTTTGCCAATCACGAGATCTTAGGTTGCATCCCCGCGTTGGAGAATTACTGTAAAATTCTTTGTAATAGTACAGTTTCTAGGATTGTGCCGTATTTTGTATAATATACGTAGCCCAAGGTCGATGGGAAAATTTTGCATATCTCATTTTGTATAATGACTATGAAAGCGTAGGTAACTTTTTCCCAGCTTTGTAGTTTATCTCTCATCGATCTTAGCCTACGTATAGATATTATTGTATGAGACTCAACAATTATAATAATTATAGGTAATGTAATAAAGTACATAGTAACAAAACCAATAAAAAATTAAAATTAAATGTAAAACATAAGGCATTTTTGCAATTCGTTATAAATTTCAATTATTAGCTTATTTAAATAAAGTATCTTAAGGATAACAATAAAGTTAGCAATGCATCAGTTAGTACACACGCACCTGGTAAAGTGGTTTTCATTTCTAAACATCAAGTTGCCCCACGCGTTTATACGCGAACATCCGTTTACAATGAACTTCATACAATTCGTTAAGACCCTTCGAGGCAATGACTTTGGTCTCACAGGGATGGCGAAATTTCTGGGTGTTAGTTCATCATCTACAAAATAACAATGTTATAGAATTTGCAGATAGAAATCGACAAAATAAAACAATAATCTATCATAGAAATATACATACGATCGTCTTCCGGTGTAGCTACTACATGAATGTCATCTTCGAAAATAGTTATCACTGAATCCACACCATTAACTGCCTCGTGCAATGGTGTGATTGTAGAACCCAAACTCTCCTGGCCTTCGCTATAAACTACTGCTTGTGTAATGATTTCTTGGTGCGCATCTGTGTCTACGTCAGGTGAGAGAGAAAGTACCTTAGCCCATGTTGGTGACGCCCATTTTGATGGCGATGGTGTTGGGAGACTATCCTCGTCGATCTGGCTCTGTTCGTAGGCTTCGACGAGCCCACGAAGGTTTTCTCCACCCTCGTGAACGTCATTCAAGGAGGATGGAGAAAAGGCTTTGAGATTTGGCTCGTCTTTTTGTAATAGGCTCTCATCCTCGTTCTTATCTCTGTAAGGCCGGTGATAAAGATATTTTGTGTCTAAAATTGGGGTTTTAGGTTTTTTACTCTCTATATTAATTAGAGGAGATATACAACGCACGGTGCTCGGCGTTGATGTGGTTGATGTCAAACTAAGATCTCGTGGTTGAAATCTTTTGAGAACATCTTGTGATCGTGGGCTGGCAAGGTTCAAGCTGCTCGTTGCGCGCTGTCTTGTTGGTGTGGATTGTAAATGTCTGGACCTAAGTTCAGTGTCCCTAGAAGACAGACAGCGAGCCGGTACAGCTGGTACAAGCTCATGATTCAGATTCTGCGGTCTTTTAACAATTGTTTGGCGCAGTTTTTCAGTTTCTTGTGTAATAGGCAGGGCTCTTGAAGGGGGAGGCAATAACCGCCGTCGCGGTGGTAGCGGTGGTATTTGACGGCGATGGGGTCTTTGGTCCATCTCGCGAGGAAATGGGCTTCTTGACATGGCTGGTACATTTCCAACACTGGCGTTATGTCTTTCTTGTCGATCAGGCCAATGAGGGTCGAACAAGGTCCTTGTAGGGGCAGGCAATAACCGTCTTCTTACTGTTGTGAATTGCACAGTTTCCCGAGGCGATGACCAAGAGCCAGGTACAGGTGTAAAGTTAGTCGGTCCTCGCCTCTCCTGACGACTAGGCCCATAGCGGGGTATAACAAACCTCGGAATAGGGGGCAATAATCTTCGAATTCGGCGGATCTCCGGTCGTAGAGGAGATTGCAATGAGTAATTTTGATGGACGCTCGAAGAAGAAGCATCTTCTCCGGAAGCATTACAGCTATCCATATCATTAAAACCATAAATTTTGATCGCTCGTTTAGCTGTTCGTATATTTAGGGCGCGGTAATGATATGCCCAAGATGGAGTGCCAGGTCTTGTGGTGGGCATTATAGATCTTAACTCCAAACGATTCGTCACCCGTGGAGCTGAAATAAATATTTGTATATAGGTAACAAAACAAACTTAAATTTAAATTAAATTTAAAACAGGAAAAAGATACTTACTTGGTTTTTGTACGTAGACCACACTTTCGTGTAACGTTATTCTAATTGCAAATAACCATTTATTCAATAATACAATAAATTTGTTATGCTTCCTATCGCTTCCTAAATGTATCAAGTTACTTAAAATTTGCTGAAATTAAAAACAGTGATTAACAGTCAAGGCTGTAATAGATTATCCTTCATATCTTATTACTTACCAGTGATATTCAAAGGAATCACATTCTAACAGTCCACAAAAGTCAAGCAGATAAGAAAAATAATTTTTAAATACTACAAATGTACTTATTTTCTGAAAAACCTAGCTGAAAATTATAAATTTTCAGTTTCAGTTTCGTTGACATGAGCTTGGCGCGTTGAAGTCTTCTACACGCTGCATTTATTTCAATTAAATATCTAAAATATACTGAATTAATCTTAAATAGGGTGAACTCATTAATTAACGACTTTTGGTCCCTTAACTCCAAAATGGAAAAGTCATAAAGTGACCACTCAATTTATGTAAGCATAATGGCTTGAAAATCAAAAAATTACAATATTATGTTATATTCATCTTTATTTCCAACTAAAAATTATAAAAATGGCATACTAGATAGCCAATTGTTTCCCAAATGGGAAAAAAGAGATATACACAATGTAAAACAATCTTTTGCCAAGCAAGTTATAAGGCCAGATTTAATAGGACCCCCTTAATAGAGTACACGCTTATTATTCGTGAATGATAGTCGAATTTCAAACCTTTTACAAACTGCTTAATTTGACATTCAACCTGGAAACAAACAACTCTTCCCTTAAACACAAAAACCGATGTAAAATATAATATCAAAAATTATGATGTACGTAATTTTATTTTAATATCAGAACGTTCCATTTTTATAAAACTCTGATCTAACAAGACATTTTTCTTGTCAATTTGTCTTCTCTTCCTTTTACGTCAATGTCACATACACATTTCACCGTGACCTAAACACAATATTCCCAAACCATCATCATCATCATCAGCAGCGTCATGCTGATGTTGAAGATTGACAATGATTCCATCCACTGCTGAACGTAGGCCTCCCCAATAGCACGCCACTGCTGAGCTCGACGTTCAGCTCTTCTCTTCCAACCGCTACCAGCCACCCTGCAGATATCGTCAGTCCAACTTGCTGCGGGGCGCCCTACGTTTGCATACGGTACCCAAAGCAATCCATATATAATAAATGGATTAATATATTTATGGTTCCACGAGGGTGTCAAGTCATCACGTTGCGCAGCAGTCAGTCACAAATCATTCCGTCAACCATACATTTTTATGGGACATGTCGTCAAACCAGCAGTCCTATTACCTGATAGTGATAGCTATCATCATTAGCCTATAAGTGCCTACTACTTAGCAAAGCCCTATTGTCACACGGAATAGGTTTGAGCATTAATTACCACGCTTCCTCAAGGCGGATTGAAACTTATAATTAGAAGTTATAGTCCAGGTTTCCTCATGATGTTTTCCTTTACAGTAGGTCTGAAGAGTCTAAATGAACTTAGTACATATGACTATGAAAAAGTCACATTGGTACTTGTCAAGCTTCGAAACCGCCTCTTCATTAATGAGAACCTCAAGTTTCGGGCCATTCACCGCGGCCTCGGTCTAGAGCAGGAGAAGGAAGGGGGGGTTTTTAGTCAGTAAGAGTCTGACACTCTCTCTCGCCTAACCCTGGGCGGGAGAAGTCATTTGATGATTTACTCCTGACAAAAAAAAGTTTCGGGCCATCACGATTTTTTATAAGTATAGAAGTATTTAGTAGCCCCTTAAAACCTGGTCTCTATTGCTTTTTATCACCAAAATCGTTATTGAAGATGTAGATTCAACATTTCAAATTCAATGCCATTAAAACTAATGAAGCGTTTAAAAATGTTTTGTCAGTACAATTGTGACTACAAAATGATAAATATAACGCGACATTTAAGTACCACATACAAAGATAAGTAGCATTTCAGTTTAAACTTTTATTTAGCTGAATCGTATTAAAAGTCGGAGCGTATAAAATGCTCGGACAGGCGCCGTACACTGCATACAAGTTTCAATTTTACCCCGAGCCTTGCGAAGGGGCCACCACTTGTTGCATCCCACTGAAATCGCCCTGTTCAATGTCCCGTACCGCGATACATTCAAGCTTTTCAACACACAACCTTAACTCTATAAACAGAGAGCACATATTCCAATAAAGGCTCTCTTTAGAATCAAATGCATGAATGGACGAAGTTTAAAGTTGATTAAACGTTAATTCAACGTTTTATCTTTGTGTTGGCTCGTCATTGGTTACGCGGTTTATATTAGATTTGATTTTGTTTGTTGATGTTCATTAAAAGCTATTGAAAATAAATATAATTAATAAAGTAACGTTTTGAAAAATGCTATGTTGTACGTTGTATCTTTACTAATAAGCGTCAATCAGCCTATCTGCCCACTTTTAATTAAAGGACTCTTCTTACAAGGAAAAAGTTGGAGCATTAATCACCATGCTTGTTGACAGCGGATAAGCGATTTCAAACTTATAATAAGAAATTATAAGGACTGACGACGTTTTCTTTTAGCGTTTTTCAGTGGAAGTTAAATTTAAAAAATTAAAGTGTCCTTTCAAATATGACTTACAAAAAGTCACATTGGAACTTGGCAAGTTTCGAACCCTTGCATGAGAAGCGAAAGCTAAACCTTCGAGCCACCACGACCAATACGCATATAATGGGCTAATTGTTATTAAGTAATTAGTGCATATTTTTTACGAACTGTCGCGCGTTACGGTCTGTTGTTCAAATATATATATATATCTATCACACAGAATAATTATTTAAGCTAATTTAATAAACATATTAGCGTCTCTATATAATGTGTATGAGAAAATATATTTTATACACTCTAAAATGAGTGTATAAAATATATTTTCTCATTAGAAAATTAACGCCAGAAGACGTTTAGGAAATCAAAAGAAATTTTGAATAAATACTTACATCAAAATGGGTCTTTTTGTATCTGAAATCATAAATAACACATGAGCTCTCGACAATTGCTAGCAGTTCAGAGTTCGTTCCCGATCTGACAGAGAGAAACCCTAATATTTTCCCTGTCATTTTTAACCTCGTTCTTCTGATGACAAGTCTGGCGTAAGTAATCTGCCCTCGTTGCTGAAACAAAAAAAACTTATATATATAAGTACATATACGATGTGAAAAGGAGGAATGAAAAGCATGTTACAAAAAAAGCCATGAGTATAAATGTGGATGGATGGAGAGGGAGAGGGAGACCAAAGAAAATATGGATGGATTGTGTGAGAAGTGATATGGAAGACAGAGGAGTTAGCGATAGCGTGACGAGTGACAGGACAGAATGGAAGACAAAAACATATTGCGCCGACCCCAAATAAAACGGGACAAAGGCAGGAAGATGATGATGATATAAGTACATTTCTATGTGCCTTAAAACTACGCCTACTTACTATATTAAAAATGTAAAAGTTTGTGAAAACGTATGGATGTATATTTGTTATTCATTCACTCAAAAACAACTGCACCGATTTAGTTGAAACTTGGTATTTTTTATTTTTATTTTATTTATTTTTTTAAAAAGCGTTGCCCCACATTAGGATTTTCTCCTGTAGCGTGGGTGCTGTTACAAACATACATTTTCACATCACAAGACAAACAGACCCGGAACAACAATTTGTGGATCACTCAAAGAGTTGTTCCGCGCGGGATACGAACCCGCGACACGTTGCACGGCAGCCAGTTGCCCAGACACCGCACCAACCGTGCAGTAAATGTATGTAGATAGATGTTACCCTAGATTAACACATAGGCTTGTTTTTCATCAACATATCACGCCTTAGAAGTCGCGGGCGAAAGATAGTATTCTCATGTACTTGGCACACGACATGGTAAAAGAGATTTTGGCCTGTTTGTGCGGTAAAAGAATTGCCTTTACACTATTGTTTGAGGTCATATTTGCAGTCTAGCCTGATTTGCCTACACATTGAAAGTTAATAAAATGAAAAAGTATTATTATAATGGTGGTAGGTGTAGCTCTTCCATCGAGTCAACCTTTTCTGTATACTTTCAGCAAGTCATGTAAGTAATGATTATATAATATAAAGCTATTTATTTAAACAGTAACAATTGAAGAATATGAGGTACTCCGTTGTGTATACTACGTACTAAGTGAACCTATGTCGAATTTCAATAATCGTAAACCCAATACTCTAGATGGGTCCAAAAACGAATCCCTATTTGGGAATACTTTAGGAAAATTCACTAAAGGTAAATTCATAAGTCAACCCGAGTCTGCATTATGTATACCTTTAATATACTTATTATAATAGCATAAAAAAGAACTTCAGTTTGTACACACTTACCCTGAAGCTTGAACGATAGAACATCTCTGAACCTATACTCCATTCCATCCGTAAATCATTTAAAGGATACATATTTATAAAGGACATTTCTAAAAACAATGGTCTTCCTTCGGGCATCGCTACGGAGTCCGGTACTGATTGTATACAGATGTTTCGTAATATAGGAAGCTCGTCTAAAACACAGAAATTGATTAGTTATATGAAATACACGATATTGAAAATAATGATATGAAATGAAATAAAAAAAGATTATTTTTAAATAAAATAAAAGTAAAACAAAATGAGCGCTTACCATGTAATTGGAGCGATGATAGCTAAATACAGCGATTGACACCCATCCTTTCTAAGCTTACCTTTCGTTAACTGAAAATTCTGCTTATAATCTCAATTTCATTTAAAATATTACATTTTTGAAAGACCCTACTAGTTTCAAAATGACTTTACAATCGTTGCTACATGGATCGTATTGGCTTTATTTTTTTATCTGGGTAAGACTGCTAGATCCTAAACCCATTTGACGCTATCGAACATTACCTATTGATGCATGTTTACTTAAATGAAATCTAAATGCTACAAATTAATTTGTAAGTATGGCAGCATGGATACATGTTGGTAAGTACGAGTAGATACTACTTTTTTCCAGAATCTCTGAACAGTTCAGCACTTTGACTAAGCTTTAAGGTCCTGTTTCACAAATTCTAAGCAGCGGCTATAAGTCAGATAAAATTGCAAATGACGTAATTTCTATGAAGTATTTCCCACGTAAGTTTATCAGGTACTAAAACGAATGTAGTGAAACAGACCGAGGTATGGTGTACATGTTTTAAAAACTAATTACTAGCAAATTTATTTCAGACAATACAATTAGATAGCTCGTTTGATAATAGAAAATGGCTTCAGTTGCTCCATTTTTTATGGAAATAAGAGGCAAGTGAGGTGACAGACAGCTGATGGTAAGCGATCAGCGTCGACCATAGACTTGAACTTTTGACCCACGACATCAAAGGATATCAGAACTGCGTCGTCGAGCTTTTAAGACGCTGTTTTTTTGATGGCATCGGTTCGGAAATACTGTTGAGACCTAATGTCATATCGAATGAAAGGTGAATGAACTTTTTCTTAATTTTGAGTTTTCGTTTGTCTTGGAGTGCGAAACGCGTTGAGGATAATTTAGTTAAATAATCTTGCAGTTTTTGACACTGATTTCATATGTGATCTTGTGACAAAAGAGTCATAACTAATTCAATTGTTAAAATTTAATGCAAATAGTTTTAGTATAATTAATTAATTTATTATGATAAGAAAGACTCACAGCTTATGTATACAAAGTAGTTATAAGTATAAATAATAAATATTAAGTATAATGTATTAATAAAATGATTATAACTACCTACATGTATTTCAGATAAATTAGCCAAAAGATTTGACAAATAAATAATTTTGTAGAACAAGTAATTATTTGAAAATTACAATCTATGTTCCATTTTTTATTTGAAGCTGGTTTCTCTAATCTATTGCTCCATTTAAAATTAATGATTCTTAGTTGTGTAGTTTTCTTCGATGTTTTCTTACCATCCATTGAATGCATATAATGACTAGTATACATATAAAAGCATATTTATTTATTATTTTATTAATATCTATAACTGCGATTAATGTATTTAGGTATCAAATAATCTATCTCGTTGCATGTATTCTAATAATTATTCTACTTATTAAAATTCTAATATTAATTCTATTAACCATACTCCGAAGTTATTTAACGGCTAATTGACATAATCTTCAGTAATCCTTTTCTCAACAAAATCAATACTAAGGAAAAGTTAAAGTTATCATTGAATATCTCTGAGAACAGCAGGTCTGGCATCTAAGATGAGGATTGAGAGATCACTCTTTATGTAAATAATTGTGACTTTCATTCTAAAATTTTGATTAAAACCGGTAAGGTAAACGTTTGGCAGCCAGAATACTTTGTTTTGAGTGCAGCTACAGAAAAAAAATACTGATAAATTTAAAAAGAATACCATGCTTTTGATAAACTTTGATTATCCAGTTTGGAACTGATTTTTTTAGGAATGTATAAACACGGTGTCTAGGATTGAAAGTAATGTATATTTAATTTTGTAAAATAATTTTACTAATTCTAATAACCTGAAAGTTTGTAAGTCAAGGTAGATGTTTGTTATTCTTTCACGTAAAACGAATACTTAAATTATTTTAATTACATTTGGCACAGAAATAGATTATAGTCTGAAACAACACAAAGACTGCTTTCAGCTGGCTGAATCTGATACACTTTTGCGTTAAAATTGAAATACTAAATTAATTGGTAGCTACTGAATACTTTGTGGATCAATAAATAAAAAGTAATTCTTTAGATAACAACATGTAGGTACAAGTAACAATGAACGATCTGCATTGTTATACATTTTACATTGATTTCAATGAAATAATTCCTAATTAATAGAATATCTTGACTTATACCAAAAATGTGATTAAAATTGTCTTACATATTGTTAAAATGCATTGCATGCTGCTTATAATTTAATTAAGCAATCGAAGCTATGTATAATATCGTGTATATAAAACTGAAGTGAATGTGCAGTTAAAAGTAACTAATCTATTCTTTGATTGTCTTAATAAGAGTACCTACATAACAATGTATACCTACGTGTTCATCTTACCAATAATTATAAGTTTTAATGCATATTTGTAGTACGTAATTATAATTCTACAATTTATTTTATTTTATACGACTAGCTAATATTTGACATTAAAATCTTACTTTTTAACTGTATGTATATGCTATCATTTAGCTAGAAAATATGCATAGTAATGATAATTTTGTCCGAAAAATTAAGATTTTCATTTTATTAACTTCGAAACTTTGTTAAGTTTTATCATGATTAATAGTTTTACCATAGAAAGCAGATTTTTTTATTTTCTTTTCATTATCATTAGAAAATTATTTTCCTGATTAAATTATTTTATAACTTTCTTCAAACAACTTATATCATTTTCTTGTTTCTATTGTAGTGTGTAAACTTTTCGGTCTGCTTAGTAGACAAGAAAGAGTTAACATTGCCTTGTATTTTCAAATTGAGCACGTTGTTCCCATGGCTGAAAAAATTAGCATATGTCAAGAACAAAATCATCATAAAATATCATGTTTATTTCATTGTCAAAGCTATTCCCTATATTACTTAATTCATGCAAATTACCTTCGTGTAAAAGTGTGTTCTGAGCTATTTGCAACCTAATCTACATTTCATTAAGATTGCGTTCTGGTCGAATCAGCTCATCAAAATCGTTATTGTCTTCATCGTTATCGTCATCTTCTCCTTCATCTCCACCATTATCATCCTCATTATCTACTTGTTCCTCCAAATTCTCAGCTTCCACCTCCGGTTCCACTTCTTCTTCGATTTCATCATCAACGTCACCATTCCTCTCATTGTCGTCATTCAATACTTCATTTTCGTTTTCGAAATCAATAAAATATAATTCTATGTATCCTATTTGTATATCGTCGACTTGATACGTGAAAGTGAAATTGTCATTTTAAAAATTATTCCTAATGCCAAAATTACTGGTTTCTTTTTTATTAACTTCCTAACTATTTTAGTAAAAATTGAGATTATTATTGCAGATTTTTTTAACTTTTTTTCGGATAGGTGAAGCCCATTCGTGCTTTGAAACTACTTCTACAGTGAATAGTGAATGAGCTATTGGAATTATGATTTTTTAGACAGACAGACATATTATAGGAAGGCACTTTATTGTCGATAAAAAAAATACAGTAATCATTTCAACCCAATTATTCGCCACAGCGGCAGTACATGTCACAGCACAGCCACCTACAGCATCATTAATGTTACTGATTCTTTTTTATATCAAGGTAAAAGTACAAATTGCGGATTATTTTGAACTATAAAAGCTTTTTTAGGTCTTCCGAAAATAAGTCTATCTTAGCACTACTCGTATATTGTAATGGTGCTATGGTCAATGTTATATTTTATTTAAAATAATCTACGTTACCACAAAGTGCCATTAAATAATTAAAACTACTTAACATAAAAAATAAAGTAATAAAAATATATATTAAAAGAACTGGAAATTTAGGACGATAAAATTACCTCAATGGAACCCTTATCATCATTATCACCCTATAAGCGCTTACTGTTGAGCAAGGCCACTTTCACCAACAGTGAAAAGAAAATAATCGGTCGCTTATTTAAAGCGGATTTTTAAATATGAGTCCAGGTGAATGTGAGAGAACTAGGGTACTGAATAATCTTATAAAGTACTAACATGTAACTCGGAGAAAGTCACATCGTACTTGCTTAGGTTAACAATCCGTATTCACATGTATGAGAAGCCGGTGCCTTAGGCCCAGGTCGTCTCGAGATTATGACTACAGACACTAATCTATTTTTAATAATCTTTGTTTAAATTTACAACAAAGAGATGGTGACTGTCATCAGCAGTAGTTATTGATCTGAGATTTTTTTGCTATCGCAAACAACCACTGGATTGAGCCGTATGCTTCATAAGTTTTTAATAGGCAAATGTATACACAGATCTATTGATGAGAAACTATTTAAACAAGTCTGCTGCAATGCTTAGAAAAAACTAGTTCTTGTTTTTTACAGAAAAAACTTCTTACTTTGTACGTTTTCTGTGACAACCAATTCTTTCACTATGGTATATAAACCGTGACTTCATCATGCGTTACGACCGCGACGTATCAACATTTACATTTAGACCTCATGAACTAAAGTCCATACTTAAAAATAAAACATTCCTGTTTTATGAGGAGCAGCCAGAGATTCTCACAACTCGTTATCTCCAACCTAATAGAAAACAAACAAATAATAAAAAAAAACTCATATTAAAAAGAAAGTAAGGAACCAAAAAATAGTTAATACAAATAATAAGAAAATAAATCGTGTATTTTGCGTTGCAATAACATTAACCAGAGTATTTTCTAATGATAACTTACTGATGGGTGGTTCCAGCTGGTAACATGACTCCTGAGCATTTTCAGGAGTAGAGCTGGAGTTTGAGCCCTGTAATAAAATAAGTCTTACTACTCAGAACATAAGGTTACGTTATGTACAATTAGTCATTTGCGTCTTTTAAGTAATTTGCAGCCCATTATTTATTTGTAGTATTAAGTTTGGAATACAGGCTATTCTAGCCTAATTCTAGCCTATCGGATAAGTTGATAAACAATCACACATCAATTTTTATACATTTCCGGATCTGTTGAAATGATCAGGTTTTGCTTTAGTGTGTATGTGTGTATGTATGTGTGTGTGTGGGTGTTGTGTTGGTGTGTGTGTGTGTGTGTGTGTGTGTGTGTGTGTGTGTGTGTGTGTGTGTGTGTGTGTGTGTGTGTGTGTGTGTGTGTGTGTGTGTATGTATGTATTCGCACGTGTGCGTAGATATGGGTGATATGGTATCAATATGTGTACACAATAAACCTTCTGTGTGTGTGAATTATTTGTATTAAAAAGGTGTAGAGTACAGTTATTTTTCAGTTTAGTAACTGAAAAGATTTTTGTAAGGTTGAAGAAAAAGCTGTATACAATTCTGGAATAAGAATATCTTGAATAAGACCTTTTCTATAATGATACGTTGCATAAACGCTAAGCCTTTCGTATCTGTTAATTTAAAATGAGCGTGTGACTGAACAGGTGTTGCAAAAGCCTTACTTCAGTTACGTAGTCGTAGGAATTATAGATTTGTAGAGTAAATTTAAAAATGTATATATTATATGTGTTTATAATTTTGACTACATAATAAGTCTTTACCTATGAAATTGCCGTTCTGTAGTACTGGCCATTTCAAATCAAAATAGTTTTTGTTAGGCTAATTAATTTTGTTTTAAAAACATGGGATTCTTTTTAAAAAAGTAGTCATTTGTTAATTGATTTCCATCGCATTTCAAATCAAAAAAATCGTTTAAATTTTTTCATGCAAAACGGCAATTTCATAGTAAATGACCTATTAGAATAGTGGTCCCTTTAACTGTGTTTTGTAATGATAATATTTTTTTAACTTATTAATATGTATGTTTATTTAAGTTTTGGCTGTACCAACCAATACCTACAATATTTATGTAGGTACCTATATTTTATTGATATGTAGATAAAACAAAAAAATCAAAGAACATGAAAAACTAGTAAATGTATACTTTTTGTTATATTAACATTTGCTGTTTTACTGTCATTCTTATACAACCAGAGATTGATAAGATTTAAATCCCGCGGCTTTCCAGGCAAAGGGACTGAATCCGGGACTGCTACCTGTTTCTATAATTGCTTACCTCATTGAGGGCTTGCCTCAGTTTCTGAGAAAATGCTCGGACTCTGTAACAAAAAAAAAAACAATATTAATATTTCAGTTTAATTCAAACAGATTTTTTCTGGTGAAATATGTAAAATGAAATATAAAAATATGTAAGGTGAAATATGAGGAAGTGTTTCTTACTGACTAAAAACCACCTCGACCTTTACCTTATCCAGCCCAAGGCTACTGCTGGGCAGTACGTTATTATGCTAGACCTGCAAGCCCGGAGTATAGTACAAAGCTATCGTTGGCATTAATAGCTTAAGGGAGAGATAGGGTATTGATAGAAGCAGCGAACATCAAAATTATATGGAGCTAGAAGAAACATTTATTTATTTATTTATTTATTTATTTAAGGGCAACCAACAAAGCATACACTAAAATACATGATAGGTTTTTAACATATTTTAACATTGTATAGTGTAGCCTTAATTAAAGGCTGCCACGACATGCATTTAACAAATAACAGGATATTACAACAAAAAGTTCACTTATCAAAAAAAAAGACATCTTAATAACACTAGTTTTCAAATCACAATTGTTAATTATTAATTCAAAAAACTGTAATTTTTTTTAATACCATGAAATATATTAAAGAACAATAAAAAAAAACAATATTTTATACAGTGAAATATATTGTGGAGCTCAACTCTGTGAGAATGTCCTACGTAAGACAGTTTTCACCTTAAAGAGAGAGTAGGACATGTCAATATCTACATCAAGTGAGGATGACAGGCGACTAAATTGTTCCTGCATTCTATTTATTGTGGAAAAATGGCCCAGGCTTGTTTTAAAGCCCTTACCTGAAAGCAACCGATACCTAGACATTCGAGCCAGTTTGTAGGGCACGTTCACATTAATCTGGCTAAGTAACTGCGGACAGTCAATGTAGTTGTTTATTAATTTGTACAGGAACAGGTGATCTAGGATTTTACGGCGATTATCTAGACTCATTAATTTAAAATACTTCAAACGAGAGCTATAACTAGTTAATTTACTGGTCATGTGACATTGATATGTCAAATGCCAAAGGAATCTTTTTTGAATTGATTCTAAACGGCGTTTATGAACATCGTACAATGGCGTCCAGACTATGCTGCAGTATTCTAATCCTGATCTGACTATTGAGTTGAAAATAGCAATTTTAGTTGAGGCGTGTTTAAAATTTTTACTATTGCGCAAAATGAAACCCAACATTTTAAAACCCTTGGAAGCGATTTTATCAATGTGACTATGAAAACGCAGCTTATTATCTATGTAGACGCCCAGATCACGAATCAATGTTTTTTCGTAAACAGTTTTTCCGTTTATATTGTATCTACGGAAATGGGGTCCTACTTTTCTTGAAAAATGCACATGATTGCATTTGTCAGCATTAAGTAACATCTTATTGTCTAGACACCACTGAGAGAAAAGGTTTAGGTCCTCTTGAAGTCTATCTGAATCCTGATCGCACTCTATCCGTTTAACAATTTTGAGGTCATCCGCGTATAAATAAATTTTTGAATGCACAAAACAAGATACCACGTCATTCATGAATATGTTGAAAAACAGGGGGCCTAGATGGGATCCTTGGGGTACCCCCGAGGGTGTCAAATAACGTTTCGACGAGTAACCGCTCACTACCACCCTAGAAGTGCGTTCGACAAGGTAAGACTCACACCACTGCAATAAGTTTCCTTCGATTCCGACTAGATGTAATTTCTTAACTAACTGTTTGTGATTCACCTTGTCAAACGCCCTGCTAAAATCCGTATAAATAACATCTACAGGAGTTCCACGGTCTACGGCGTCGACTAGATCAGATGTAAAGCACGCAAGATTCGTTCCCGTAGACCGGCCCTTCATGAAACCGTGTTGTTCAGGCATCAATACCTGTTTCACATGCCATGAGAGTGCAGGGTAAACTAAAGCTTCGAACACCTTCCCAAAAATAGACAAGATAGATACAGGTCGGTAGTTATTCGCGGCGGACCTTTCACCAGACTTGAAAATTGGTACAACTCGTGCCTCTTTCCAGGTCTTCGGAAAACAACCTGTGTTCAATGATTTATTATAAATCATAGAGAGAGGCTTTCCCAGAGGGTCACGACATTTTATTGCAAAGATGGAGGGCAGTCCGTCGGGCCCTGGCCCTTTAAAAGGGTCCAGTCTTTTTAGGGCCTTAACGACTGAATCCGTCGATAGTATCAAGTTTGCCAAAATATCAGAATTACATGGTACAGTGTCGTAATTAGGTATGTTGTTAACACTATCATTATTACCAGTACCGCCAGACCCTTCATAAACCGATGAAAAGCATGAGGCAAATAGATTGCAATTTTCCGCTCCATTACTACCTTTGACATTACCGTAATGTATTGACGAAGGATATGTACTATTACCATTACGTTTCTGCTTTAAAAATGACCAAAAGAGCTTAGGGTTAGAAGTGATTGAAGATTCAATTGATTTAATGTATTGCCTATAATTTGTTTGTGTTAATTTAGAAACTCTGTCTTTGAGCACGCGATATGATATGTGATCTAGGGGGTTTTTAAATTTTGAATAAAGTTTATGGTACTTATTTTTTTCTCGAAGCAAGCGAATGAGATCTCTGCTAAACCAAACTGGATATTTACTAGTTGCAGGTTTCGTCTTAGGTACATATTTTTCAATAACGTCATTAATAACTTTGTAAAATGAATCAACCATTGAATCGACATCGCCACATTGTGAAAACAAATCTTGCCATGATATGTCACTCAATTCTTGAATAATTTTATTATAATCTGCTTTGTAGAATTTAAATTTTGGCTCCAGGTTTGGACGTAAAGTTTCTTCGAGCAAATTACACACTAAGTGAAATTCAAGGGGGGGATGATGCGAGTCTATGTTACTTAGAGGATTGCCAGACATACCTAAACATTTAATAATATTATTATCGGTCAAGACAAGATCGAGTATCTTGTTATTATGGTTACAAACGCAATTGTATTGATTTAAATTATTTAGGTAAATAAAGTCTAACAGTGTTTGTTCGCAAATACCGGTTTTATTTAATGAAGCTACAAGCGGTGTGCCCGGTGATCCTTTCCATTCAATGCTACTTAGGTTAAAGTCACCTAATATTAACGCGGAATTAAAATTTTCTAAGGCATTATTTGCATTGTCGATAAAATGTTCTATAATATGTTTTTGAACCGGTGGCGGAATGTACACGGCACAGATCAAAAGTTTGGCAGGTTGTTTGTTCATACAAATATCTACGCACACCCACACATCCTCACATTTACTCTCCCAATTAGTCACTCGACAAGATCTTAGCCTCTTAGATACCGCCACTAACACACCGCCACCAGACCTTTTGTTATGAAACCCACTAGTCTCACGATCCCGTCGATACACCAGATACCGGGTGCAAAATAGCTCAGAATCCAATATGTCGCCTGCCAACCAAGTCTCACTTAGTACAATAATATCATAGTTACAATTTAGTACATTCAAATAAAAATCAGTAGTCTTGGTTCTCAAACCTCTCACATTTTGGTAATAACAACTAATTAAATCAGAGAATGTAAACAGTTAAGTATCGTTACAAGATAATAGTTTTAAGCAGTAATAAAAAAAGTGAGATCAGGTTAATTTATTCAATGAGTCCATATTACGAATAAATACCTTTTCCGTCTCGATTGATTTACGTACATAAACTCGTCCTCCTCGTACCCACACAAATTTATAATTTAGTTCTTTAGCTCGAAGTCGGGTAGCGGCGTGTAGGTTTTTATTTTCCATTGTAAGGTTCTCAGTAACAAATATCGCTATCTTCTTATCATCCAGGCCTAGTGTGCTGGTGTTCAGTTTCTTATTCGGGTTATCCTTATTGTATTGTATGGTAGCGGCTAGCAGGGAATCCCGGATGCGAGGGATACTAAATTTCACCAGGATAGTACGTGGACGAGACGACTTAGGATCTGACTTAGCAACGCGTGAACAATAAGCTATGTCACCATCGCTAATGGGAAACTTGACAACTTGACCAAGCTGTTTAACAATGCACAATACATTTTCAGCTTTGTGCTCGGGCACGCACTGCAATTCAATGTTTGTTGATCTAGACAGCTGGTCCATTTGTCTGACACGATTAGACCAAACGGCGACCTCTGACCGAAGCTGCTCGTTTTCATTTTTAAGTAGTTTAATGGTCGAGTTATGAGCGGCAACATCGCTATTCAGATTGTCAAATTGGGCACTTAGAAAGCCAAGAGAATCCTTAAAACCGGATATTTGGTCCCTTAATTCACGTAGTTCAAGGTTTAAGGTGTTTCTCATTTCACTCATAAATTCATTCATAACTGAACGCATCTCTTCCCGTATATCGGAGCGCGATACACTGTCCGACATTCTTGCAGTAGATGCTTGCACAATTTCCAACTTATTTTGTACCTTGCGGCGTGTTACATTAAATGTTATATCAGCCAAGCCTGTCGGAGTTGAAGGGCGGACGGGATCGCTACTTTTAGGCTGTTTGTTACTGCAACTAAGGCATATCCACTTGTTGTTTGCAACTAGTAGTTTATTTCCTTCATCCAGTGAGATATCGAGGCATAAAAAGTGATATCTATCCGAACAACGCTGGCATTCCAAGTAATCCTTTTCCACTACATTGTTACATGCGGCACATATACTCATGGTTATTCGGTGCACGCGCACTGTCGCGGCGATGACAAGGACAAAAAATAGCGACTGTCTCTTATCGTAGAGGAGGTGCGGCACGTCCCCGCGCTCACAGGTAGCACTCGCGACAAGTTTATTTCCACAAAATAGTACTTTTGAGACACTGCAATATGTGACTTATTTGCATAAACAACGGTCTTAATTAGCGTAATCGATATCCAAGAATTTTTGGTAAGCGAGAAATTTAACGAACGACACGTCTGCTTCCATTAACGATCTGGACGAATGTAACATGAAGATCAAGACTAATCGTGATAGAGGACTTCTATTAATCTTCTCTTCTGCATCTATGGGATGAAACCGAACTTCTTTGAGTTACTTGTACATAGTAAAAGACTGATACATTTAGGAAACTAAGTTCACTTTGAAATAGAAATTTACTATAATGCTGAATGACCCTACACACCTGTATTTAAAGTATAGGATGGTACTCCAATCAAAGCTGAAATCACGTTTATTAAATTTACATTTTATAACAACAAAACCTGTTACTAGGTTAACTAAATCTACAATCGACACACTATTGTTTCAGAACGGTTACACAATGTAATCTCGTAGTACGTTCGTAGCATATTCGTAGCGGGTTCGTAGCGCCATTACGCATGCAGAGGCTACGAATAACCGTAGCTACTATAACCAATAAGTAAGATTAACAAATGTTGTTTGTAACAATATCATAGAGTTACATAACATTTCAATAAAATTAGATATTTTATATTTTTTGTTCATTGAATGAGGTCCTTACTCTTGTCATTAAAATGTAATACCAATATTAAGCCAGTTATGTTATTTCCACGTAACTTAAAACTGAAGCAAAATCATAGTCGCAAAAAAGTAATCGATCAAAATAATAATCATGAAATAATAATATTCAAACAATGTTCAAATCGCAAAGATTAGCGAAAAAAGTTACTCGAAATTAAATTAGTTCAGTTAAATGAAAATACTCATTGACATAAACCAAGTATAAATATATTAAGCAAACAATACACAAGAAACTAATAAATCTACCCAAACATCGTTGTTGAAAGGGTCGGAAACAAATACAAAACAGGTCCAGTATAAGTTGACCTCTATCGTAAAAGAGGATCATAAAATTGAGATCTCAATTTATATTGGTGTCTATCTGATAAACTCGACGTCGACAGCAAATTATATTTCATAGGAAAAACACCGTTTACAAAAGGTTTATTTTATAGCACCAAGATCGTGACTCACTGAACGTAATGAGCCTTATCCGGTATTTATTCACTCTGTTACAATTTGTACAGATTTATACCTTAAGGCAGTGGGATAAGGGCCAAGTTGGTAAACAGACGAGGGATTTAGAACTGGCCAGTGGGGAATATTAAATTAATTTGTTATTGTTCGTTGTACCTCGGGAAGAAATGCAACCTTTGTTGTGGTTTGTTCTTAAAATGCAGAAAGTAAATAAAATTAAGTATACTTAAGTATTCTATTTTGTTCTATAGAAAACGGAACGATGTGTTTTATTTTATGAGGTTTTCAATACCTATTTACAGAAGTAGAATTTTTAACGACCCTTTTATCTATATTTATAACTCAAGAACGGCTGAACCGATTTGGCTGTAAATTCGTAGGGAGGTAGCTAAAAACTGGGAGAAGGACATAGGATAGATAGAGAGCGGATAGAGTAGGTAAAGTAGAGTAGGGTAGGCAGATTAGGATAGGCTAGGTAGTCAAATGACGGGAGCGACGCCGCGGGTAAGAGCTAGTAGTTTATTAAAACATAAGATTAATAGTTTTATTATTATAGGTTTATGACATATAGGTAGGTATGTCGTTACATAAACACTAAGTTAGGTTTATAAATAAGTAACAGTTGATCCCTAGTAATCACTTTGTGTTGTGTTTATTTTGTTTTCTTGATGATCTAGTTTGTAAATTCCAGGCTGTCTTTGTTCATCTACTTCTATTTCAAATTAATCAATGCCACTAAACACTGCGTAGGCCGAATTCAATTCACGATAGACTTTAAATCTCATTTTACTCCAAAAAGAAAACCAAACTATTTTTACGAACCTCACCGGAAATTAACAATGGAAAATAGAATATCCTTACCAAGAAATAGAGTTGAATTTCTAACTTTCCGGTATGTTAGTGGTATCATTGGTAAGTACCCTGCATCATTAACCTTTATGCAACAGTATAATAACGTCAAGTAAAGATGTTTTAAGTTTATCCTTGTTCACTTTGCACCGTTCTTTGTTAAATATTACTTATAAATAGCATTTATTCGATTTTTATGTCACCTTGATTATATTTAAAAAACAACTCGTTTGACGTTTACTATCCATTTTGAGATTATGTTCACCGTGTGGGACATCCCTTTATGGTTAATTCTTCTGGTATGGTTGAATCTGTTCGAAGCTTCCATTTTGTTAGTACAGCCAGAATTTATACCTGAATAACGCAATGGAACCGGTCGTTTTATACTCCCATTTCGTTTATTATTAAGCTGAGTGAGTGAATATGTCAAGAAACGAAGTCTACGATTTACGTAACTATTTTTGTACATAAGATTAATTCACAAGATTTCAATTGTTTCTTGCATTTGCGTAAGATGTTTACAATTTTGGTGATGCTGTAATACTCGTAGGATGGTATCTTTAATGTACCCACCTTTATCCCCGCCCTAGCAGATATAATTCCCAATTTCCCCTTTACTTTTCAAATATTTTCTTTGATAAGAACCTTCTACTGACAATAACAACAACAAAAAAAGATTTGCAAAATTGGTCCAGGCTTTGTTGAGCTTACCAACACATTTTTATATATAAGATTATCCGAGACCACCGATATGCCTGTAGCTATCATGTTATTTATCAGTTTTTATTTTATATTTTCTATACCTGTAAAATGTTCGTATCAATCGAACTATGTGCAGATATGCAGACAAAAACCAACAAACAAAGCTGTTACGAACTTATTTGATACGTTTTCGCTCACAAATTGTCGACACTGATTGTGACAGAGTTTCTATTGATTCCCGAGTGTATTGTGTTTTGGAAACAATAAAAAAAAAGAGTTTTGAACAATATTGTGTTCGATGTTTGTAAAATCCGTGCATCGACAACCGACGTACCTATTGATAATAGACACCTGGAAATATTTCACGTTTCTGTTTTTTTATCCACATCTCACCACCTTCCATTGCTGAAAAATTGTGGTTTAAAACGGTTTCACGTAGTATTTAATTTAAGCCGCTTATTCAAATAAAACTAAAAATAAGTTTGCGTTCTATCTACTATTTGTGTACAATATCGGCAAAGGGTTTTACTGTTGGGAAATACTAGCGGCGCAATGTAAGCCTACATAGAGTACACATTTGTGTATTTTACGCCAAAGAGAAATAATACACGGAGCTCTAAACCTGTCACTAACTGTTTAAGTTTTTCAGCGTGATGAACTACATAAAAACAATAAACAATATCCTACTTGTATAATGTTATAAACGGGAGAGTTTCAATACTAATCAAAGATGAAATACTTTATCACGAAAAAGTACCTACTTACTGAAAGTATTTATAAAGTTAAATAAGATAGTCTGGACCAACAAATAGGCTAATGTGACCCTGTCAATTGAAATAAAAAATGCGTGCCATTATAAACTGTTCTTTATTGAAAAAACTACTATGGGTCAGAAAAGTACTCGAGCCCTGGAACCGAAAGATGCAGCGTGGGCAGACCTTCTCCGCAGACCGACGACATCGTCAATGTTACGGAGAGCCAAAGGATGTGAGTAGTGACTTGTAGTTCGACGGGAAGAACTATGGAGGAGGCCTTTGTCCAGCAGCTTAAGTCTTCCGGCCAATGATGATAATGACTGTAACTGAACATTGAAAGTTCCTCGCCTACTTAATATCTATTAGCTTAGTGAAGATATAAAGTCAATGTTCTAAACGTACTAGCCTAACTTCGCCAGTAAAAGGCGTGAATGCAAAACAGACTCCACCACAGATGAACAAACGTTAAACAAATCCTTTGATCACAATGTTTGCTGGGCACAAATGACACCGAGGGACCGTGCCGAGCCGTGCTTGAATAGCGCGAAATTCCGTGTTGGAAATCACGTTCGGTACAAACTGGAATTTAATTAACCCTATATAAATGAAATGAATAATACTCTGCCAACAAGAGTATTACAAAATGTGCTGTCTTAACAATCCGTTGGTTTCACTTAAGCCTGTTGACGACGGTGTAAGTGTGAAGCGATTTATTTCGTTTTACGTTTATGAATAGCTCTTTAGGAGCAAATGAAATAAGGCTCGGAGTGGCTTTGAATAAGAATTTTGAATCCAAATTCAAATTTAAAGAAAAAAACACTATTAAGTCAGTGCAAGACAATAGTAACAGTTTGCAATATTACAGTGTCCGGAGTGTCTCTTGCCTGTATGGGCTTGCGAGGCAATCAACCCTTGACAGCACTATTTTAACCATCAATAGATTTTTGGGCAACAAAATTTGAACCTGCACTGTGTTTATGTGTAGTTTTTAAGCAAAACTTTAGGGAGTGATGAAGATCGGGTACCTTCCAACCGAAAACAAATTTAAAAGGCGCCCGCTTCTCATGCATCGTGTAAGTTTGAATCTGTCCAATACCAATGTGATTTTTTCCGAGTTATATGTACTTTCTATGAAATTTTAGACATTTAGACAGAACCGACATACGTTGAAGGAAAAAAAATTATGAATTTGTGAAGATTGAAATCGCCAATCCCCCTTGGGCAAGTGTGGTGATTGAAGTTCAAACCTGCTCCATGCGAAAATAGGGTCTTTGCTCAGCAGTGGGCATTTATAGGCTTATTATAATGATGATGATGATAATCTATGGTGGGCTTGGGAATGGTAGTCTGCGTCGTCGCCGTCTGCAGACCTTCAATTACGCCGAAGAATGCCTCGTAATCCCATACAGGCAGGAGACACTCCGAACA